TATATATATATATATATATATATGAGATTGACTAGTATTACAGAACTACGAATGCTCATTCACGGCTTGGCAGTATGAGATCGATAGATAGCTCAATACAAAGATTTCATTTCCATCCATTCGTATAAATGGTGGTTACCGACAAGTAGAAGGACAAAAGTTGGATGAAATGAATAGTCTTTTATCAAAAAAATTTGAATTAAAATCTTGTGTCAACTATCAAAAGATGCTCAAAATTGCATGTAGTTACCTTGAGAAGACTGACTTCCGAGCAATTAGGTGTTATTACGGAGTTCGCAGATTACTGGTTACTTTGGCTGCCCCCCCCCTTGGGGGAGTTAAAGCAGAAATACGGGAAAAGTCTACACCCTTGAGTAATTCAAGCGGTTGAGCTTTAGGATGGCTAAATCGAGGTATTTGCAAGCTAAGCTCTATCGTTCCTACGTTTATATGTCTGCTGGGGGGGGGGAGTAGGGGGTTGTGGGGTGGGGGTTATTGAAACTCCTAATTCCTGCTAAAGGACTATCGACTGACAAGCCATGCCAACATTCTGACCAGGTCTTGATCGACCTATGTTAAGCACTGGAACACATTTGACTCGAGCTTGTGATATTGAAGGAGAGGAAATTTTTGACAAGCGGGAAAGGCTGCACTAAACTTGAAATTGATATCGCATATGAAGGTGCCTCACTAACCTGCTCATTAGTGAAAATTTCAACTTTCTTCCTCTTATAATCCTCGTTCTTTTGTCTTATTTGGATTGGTTATTAAGAAGGGAAGTGTGCTATTAAGTCTCACCTTTAGCCGTATTCACTCTTTCCATGGTAAATTTCCGTTCGTAGGGATTCGTTGGTAATATCAATCAGCCTAATGATACTTCGTTTCATTAGGCGAATAAGTATGTTTATTACTGCTTTAAGAGCCACAATTCGTAATGCGAGGTCTGGGTGAGACAGAACAAACCGCATTAGTTGAATGTCTGGCAGAAGGAAAGGAAAACGTTCGCTACGAGTGGTCTGAGGAGAATCGTGGCGTGGTGGGCACAGAGGCTCAACTGGAGATCCTTCTTCAAGGTGTACTGGCCAAAGAAGATAGTGAAGACCCAGCTAATATTTCCAAGTATACCTGCACAGTGACTGATGCTGCCACTGGCGAGAAATTGGGCGAAAGCAAATTTAGTCCTCTCACAAAAATCAAACAACCTGACCTCAATTCTAGTGAGACTTTTATCCCAAATACGTATAAAGCGCTTTATGTGCAGAGATTTTTAATAAATTTTGTATTTTTAAGTTGAATTATCGGAAGATGAGGAAGAAATAGTTCTAGTCTACCCGGATGAGGCACTGGAAATGCACTGTGATATACCCTCCAATATGCCTTTTAGAGGAAGAGAAGTAAGTTGCAGGAAAAAAATCATTACTAAATTTCCCTCATTTTTTGAATGAAATTATTTTTACCAAAATGTTGATCAAGATAAACAAAATAGCATTAGAATAAATGGCACAAGCTTGATCTGGAATCAGGAACCATGAAGGGAATTAGTTTAAAAATGCTTAACTACCTATTTTACATTTACAAATTGAATAATTAAAGAAAATATTGATTATAACTATGTCAAGAAAACAGTTGGTAATTGATTTGTAACATGAATGGTGACCTTTTAAATAGTTGTTAATACTTTTGTAAAATATAGGCGTATTGAAGTGGATTGCTACGCTAGTAAAGCCTGACTGACTCAGAAATCTCTATGGCAGATTCTCCTACATCTAGCTAGGCTCCCAGAACCAGCTAAGCTATAGCCCACCTATAAAGGAAACAGACGTGTAGCACGGTGCACGTTCATCCAGTACGAGTATTGCGGATAAAGTGTGTACACGCAGGGAGCTACTCATGATCAGGATGGGGGATTAGGTTAAACAGAGGTTGATGATTGGTCACTGTACGGTCGCTGCACACAGAGTTGTACGGCCGCACCTCCCAATCCTGGCGAGCAGACATGCAGGCATACGATGACGCACACAACGATAACGTGTCCTACGGTATAAACAACTCAATGATAATTTTAGTGCCAAACACATGCTATTTGGAACCTATTTGAGGTTGTAATCAGGTAAAAATTACAATTTCACACTAAGAGAAAGGAAAAGTTATTCCTGAAAATTCTACAAATAACGGTTTCGTACTGAGCAAACACAGTCTTGCATAAAAACCTGCAAACGTTTAGCAAAGATGAAGAGTAATCAAATTTGAGGACTGTGTTTATTCCTTTACCAACATAGATAAGAGTGCTCTTAATCATTGATTAATTAATTACTTACTAGGTTGAGTGGTGGATCAACGGTGAGAAATTGGGAAGAGTTCCAAACCGTATTGATATGAGTAAGTCAAGTATTCTCGGATATCTCTCCATGTCGTCTAACAAAACGGGAACTTATTCATGCCGCTTCGGTAAAACCACAAAGTCTGCCCACATCATTGTTAGAAACCGTAAGCTCTTCTTTACAGCATTACGGCATTAACTAAAGAATTTGCAAATATTTACGTGAATCTAATTTGGAAAATATAGGCGATATAACAATCAACATTGAACCAAAGGAGGACTACAAATCCAGTGGAATAAACGATGTTGCTGAGTTCCACTGTCGAGTGACGGGTCACAAAAATGGTGGCAAGAATGTGAGTCTCTCACCGAGTCTCTTTTTTGGACGACATTCCTTTAATTGCGATGAAGATATGACTTCCATGTTATAGGTTCGCTGGACATTCATCCCCGAGGGTGGAACTGAGGAAGAGGAGATACCTCCTGAAGCGCAGACATCTTCACCTGCAGCTGCTCCTGCCACAGCCTTTCTCTTTATTGAAAATCCGTTGAAAAAACACGAGGGTCAATATGTGTGTCGTATTGGACAAGTCATGGATGTCGGAAAGCTCATTATTGAAGACAGAAGTATGTCGAGTGTTTGCATTATTAAAAAAAACGATGAAAACACTATCATCTGTATGCTGTGAACAGCGTCTAATTTACTAAATTTTAATGTGCGAAGTCACGGTTAGTGATTCATAACACTCACAAAGTTGTCTATTCTATTAACTTGTTAATCATAAAGCCTGAGTTGGATGAAGGCTCATTCCACGGTCGCCAAAATACTGACCACAATGCTCTCCGGAATAAGAAACTGGAAGAGAATACGAATACGTCTGGTGGGTTCATAAAGAATATAACTTTTGTTTACCTTTTTTGGTTACGATTAAAATGGGCGGGGTTATCTGGGACATTCGATAAGTTTTAGATCAGAGTTCAAAACGGAGTATTTAGGCCTTAAGTAAAAGAAAAGGTTTTCGAATCGAAATTTAATGAGTGGCAGTTTGTACTTTCCAACGTTTGTTCGTATAGCAACCAATGTGTTCAACAGCTGACATCGTTACTTCTCGAAGTAAAATCATCGAACGATTTAGTTGAGGAAAAAAGTTGTAAAATTTAGTTTTTTACCATAAATTTCCAAATGAATGCACATGACGGATGACAGAAACACTTTGTAGTGATTGGCATTCTGATTGAATTAGAGTTTCGAAACTGCTGAAAAGGTAATAGTAAAACTTTTGTTCAAATAACTCTGTTTACATATTTTTTGACAAATTCTGCGAAATCACTCCAAAACCTGAATCTTTTTCTCTGTTTCAATTCTACTCCAAAAGATTTAATTTTTGAACTATATATATGTATCAATTCAGTAGGTATGGACAAAAATTTCGTTAACTGCGTATTGGGTCATGAAATTCAAGGTTAAAGCCCAAACTTTAGTTTGCCAATTTGACAACCACCACCGAGAAATTCAACCAGACTAAACTATCCCATTTTTATGCTTTCGAAATTCTCCTAAATTTCATAAATAGTGGTTTACGGTAGAGGCATTTCCGGGTGGATGTTTAGCCATTTCGGACTTTTTATTTGAAAATTGGGATTCGCGAAGTAAACTAGAATTTTCTACTTTCGATCAGGAGTTCATACACAAGGTTATAAACTAGGGACGAAATCAAATAGTCACGTGGTGCAGAAGTTCATTAACTAAATGAATTTGTAAGCAAATCTTCTCTTTATTTTAGGAATCAGTGTGAATCCCGAGGAAGTAGTCACCCGTCAAGGATCAACAGTTCGCTTCTTCTGTACTCTCACTCTAGCTGATGGCAAACAACCCAAGGGAGGTGTGACAAAGGTCACTTGGTTGCGCAAGGATCGTCGATCGCTTTCACCAGGTCGTGAGGAAATCCTGAGTGGTACAACGGCAAGCAATGCTGCAATTCTCGTTGTTAAGAATGTTGATGAAACCTACAATAATGTGGAATATATCTGTACTGATGGGGTAAGGGTAACAACGGTCATTACGATAGAAGCGCTTATTTGACAAATCAATAACACTGTCATGTTACTTTAGTTCCGTGAAGCTAAAGCCAAGATTATACTTCAAGAAGTTTGTGGTCCAGGTGAAAGGTCTTGCGGTGGAGACAAGTGTATTCAAGAAAGCCTCTTCTGTAACGGTGTTCCTGATTGTCCCGACGGATCTGATGAAATTCCTGAACGCTGTCGTAAGTAGAATAGCCATTTGTTACCGGAGTTGCATAAAACAATATTTCTTCGACATTCTAACTGGACTCTCAAACTGTGTTTGTTAGATTCTCATGGTTGTACTGTTTTATGGTCCACGCAAAAGTTGTATTCTCTAGGATGACGCATTTAACGTCCGCATGGAACAATTAGTGGACGGGTGTGTTAAACCTAAAATAGGGCTGCACTTTTTCCCTGTTTCACAGGAAAATTAATACACAAATGAAGACTTATTTATTTCAAATGGCGGGCTTTATGACACTTATAATTAGCCCTTTGGCTGACTTCGTGCTTCACAGAGGGGAGGAGGAACATCAAAGTGGGAAAAAGTGGAGAGAGAGAACAGAAGAGTGGTTCAAAGATGTTAAAGAGACAGGCACAAAGGCAGAGAAAAGGTAAGATTAGTATGGTGGAAGTGGTCGAATATGACAAATAGTGAGGTCATGGTAGTTGGAAGTCAGAAGTCAACTGCTGGTTTATAGACCACGTGGAGGTAAGTCTATCGCACCCCAAATGAAGACTTTATTATACCAATTTCAAATAATATTGAGAATGGAAAATGACAAGGTAGAACATCAAACCTTCTTATCTCTTTAGGTAGGCTCGATTGATTAGTGGCTGTGTTAGCATGTAGGAAGTTGTATCTGTTCTGTGGAGAAAGAATGAGTGATAAGTAGAGGTTCAGCGCTCAGACAAAGTGCGCACTTTTAGCAAGACGAGGAAAGACTGTATCCAGGCGTTGTTTACTGCTGTTACAGGTTCAATGTCTTCCGTTGCACACCCAGCGAGTGAAAAACCCTTATGTATTGGCTAAATCGGGATAAATCAAGGAGGCGTAGAATCTGAGGTTAACTCATTCGAGTCTCCATAAGTTATCACATTACTCAAGATGAGTATTTGAAAAGCAATGCAAACATAATTAATATATCACTCCCACGGTTTCATTATTTTCTGAAATAAAAAGGCATTAAGTTAAATAAATTAAATTTTGATTTATACGTTGATAGCTTCCCATAATAATAATAATAATAACATTATTAATAATGATAATTATAAGTCAATGTTGGGGCGGGAGAGAGAGCAAAAGGATCAGTTGTCATTGTATTTCAGGTGAATGCGAACCGAATCAATTGGCTTGTCTGGCTGTTAACGGCAAAGAACCTTCAAAATTCTGTTACCTCCGTTCCTGGCATTGCGATGGTGAAGACGACTGTGGAAATGGCTACGACGAATTGGACTGTCCACGTTAGTGTTCAATTTATTTCAATTAAAATCTGAAATCGAAATCTAATTCGGCTAAAGTTATTATCATATAATAGTTTTATATTTTCCATATTAAATAGAAATGAAATCAATTGTACTTGAATAATTTTACTCGACAAAATATTCAATGGAAATAAATGCGTAATTGATGGGCTATCACAAAGCGTTTCATTTGATCGACAGGAATAGGATGGTAAATGCACTTTTAGCCATTTTTACTCGGAGAAATAGCTATGCCATGCGACAAAATGTTTCACACCTGACAAATAATCATCTGTTAAAGTGTCATTTCATAGAGGTTGAGCGTTCCCATCGAAACAGGACGATTGGTCTTCCCAATTATACTTAAAAAACTATTCTATACTTACATCTAGCTCCCAACCCAAATACTCCTTGCAGTAACAAATATTACATCTGCCCTGACGACCAACGACCTATTCCACGTTCATACCTCTGTGATACGCAGACCGATTGTGAACCTTCTGCAAGCGATGAAATGGGATGCAGTGAGTTTACTATTGCTCTATGGCCTACTTATTGTTCTAGAAAGTTCCGATCTCCCTTAAAATAGATAAGATTCGTGATTGAAATAAAACCCGATTTCCCGCAAGTGAGATGAATTACCGAGTTAATACCACTAAAACCATTAGACAATACATACGTCACTGAGTGAAACCGGCAAAGTTTCAAATGGCATTAATTTACCGCATTTTACGAAGTCTAACGCCATATTACCCATTCTTTAGGTCGACCAAGCGTTATCTACCCTCCCCGAGGTCAAGATGTGGTTGGAATCAAAGGAACAAACGTGACACTCAAATGCGTAGTCCATGGACGACCTCCGGCCAGTATCAATTGGCGTTTCAATTGGGGTCCAATTAAAACTGGCATCAATTATGTGGAAAATACCACCGTGGAGGGATGTGATCGAGTTACTAGCCACCTCACTCTTGTCAATATTGATCCAAGAGCTAGTGGGATGTACACTTGTGAAGCTGTTACGTATCAAGATCGTGTTCTTGCACCTGATTATACCGTCAATGTTGGAGGCAAGTAAACACAATTATTGCCCGACAAAATAATGGAACTTTCATTCCATTGATAGAAGAGTTCAGTTCATTAATATTCAAACGGAGACTACCTTATTTGGGTTTATTAAAATCGCCACCCATGACAGATATTCAAATGTAGCCAATCATTGATAAGTTTATACTCTTAGCTTTGTATCATTACCTCTTAAATTCCTAGTTAAAAAACTCCAGACCCCATGTAGCTCTGGGCCAGATTGATCTGGTTGGTTGTTAATTTAACCGAAGCTTTTTGCTTATCAAATGGTATAACAATCACTGGATGGTAACATCTGTAAATCATCTAATAACCATGCACTCACAAGGTGCATTTAAATTTGGAGTTAAACGCAAAGACATTCACAGGCATCCAACCATTTGTTTATCAACACTTCCTCCCCTACGATGTAAACAATAATTGGCAGAACTGCCTTAATTTATGGCATAAGAGAGGGAGAGAGAGAGATAGAGATTGCGCGTCTCTTGGCACATTAGTCTAGGCGTGTAGGCATTCATTCACTCGCAAATTGCTCACAGGCATCCGTCAATTTATTTGAGTGTTTATCGTGGAAATTCACACAGGAATGGGAGGATTGGTTTGTGTTTATGTACCTCGCTGCCGGAAGGAGAGTAAAGAACAATGGTGCAGTAAATCGTAAAAAATCTATGCTTCGACGACAGTGCTACAGAGAAAGTCCAGACTTGACATCTTGCTAATTTCGATTTTATTTTGGCAAATAATTTGCTCCGCTCTGTTGATCATGGTGAGAGTAGGCAAATCGAATGAATTTATACCCGTCTAAGTAGGCAGAAAGCAGACAAATTTAACGATATTATCAAGTAAATTTTCATACGAATATTGAGAAATTAGGACCTAATTTAATGACCCCCTCTAGACTGGTCAACTCGAGCGGGATGTAGTACATCGGTAGATCTATTAGAAATAGGAATAGGATGGATTTTCCACTAAGGTAGCATAGCTTGATATGGTGCAAAGATTATTAGAAATGAAATTTATTGATGGATTTTCTACGTACATTCGATTGTATCAATGTGCTTGTCTTTATACTCAGGGCGGTCTGTGTGATCGCAGCTCTTTCCAATACATGATAACATGCCTTTCCACGATGCTCACTCCTCCCCCTTTATAGCAAGTGTGCGTTTAAGGATTCAAATCCGGTGTAGTAATCCAATATTCGGTGTATTTTAATCATGCCGTTGAGTTATTCATTCTAGAACTGATGACAATTAATCATAATCAGACTCCAGTAGAATTCCTGATCAATTCTGTTTTGTTGTTTACCATTAGCTGGGAGCTACTGCAGCCGACCGAAATTCAATGATGCTGCCTGGAATGAGGATATGTGCCTGAGTTGCTACTGTTCCGGTGTTTCTGATGACTGTACAAGTCTACGTGGATACTCTCTCGCTTCGGTGAGCCTTTGCCTTAAAACTTTTATCCATTTCATAAAACTCCGCCATAGTGTGTTACCAGTTGACACATTAAGAACTTCGAGATTTAAAATTTAGGCACTTGTTTGGGGTCTAAAATATTTAAGAAAGTCTAACCAGGTCCTCTTCAACATAATTATCGTATCTCTTGAACCCTGTGCTCCTTTTAGATGGACAAAGTGGCAAAGAAGTCGATTGAAGAAGTTAGGCTGATCCAATACAACAAAGCGGACGAGCCAATCGAGGGCGAACTACCTGGCCTTCAGCTAACTGACTCGACCTTCAAAATATCTGTTCCTGATACCGAAAATACCTACTTGGAAGGAACTTTTGGACTCACTGGGGATTGGGTAGGTCTTAAGTTTCTACCCATTTCGGTTTTCTTAATTTTAGCATAAAGTAAGTATGATAATCAAGCGAAGAATTCTAAAATTTGTTTTGATGAAGTATAAAAACGTTACATTGTGAGTGACGTTGAAAAGGAAAACTTACTGATAATTAAATAAACGTGTGCTGAAATTTTAAAATAATTTTCTACGCAATTTTTAATAGAGTGAAGTTTGATATTCCTTTAAGACAACTTTAATATCTTTTAGTTTAACCTGTTGATTGTGTGCAGTATTTATAAATATGGGTTGTTAATATATTTATACCAAATGGCAGGCGCTTTGATAGTTATCATTAGCCCTTTAGCTGAATTCGGGCTTCACAGAGGGAAGGTTAATCAAAATAGCAGAAAGTCGAGGGGTGGGGAACAGAAAAGCGATTCACAGATGTAAAAGAGGCAGGCAGACACAAAGGTAGAAAAAAGGTTAGGTGAGTACTGTGAAAGTGATCGAATGTGACATATGGTCGGGTTATGGTAGGTTGAGGTCAGAAGTCAACTGCCAGTTAATAGACTTTTTGCCGTATAAGAAAACGTTGCCTAGGGTGTAACACGTGGAGGTAAGTCTATCGCACACCCCAGATTTCTAATATTGATTGACACCTATGCATTATGATGTAGAGATAGTACTGTCTTTTCATATGGCGATATTTAAATAGTTTCATAAATAGTATGCATTAATCATCTCAATTTTTTCGGGGGTTCTAACTTGTGGCCAATTTAAGGCCTCTTGGCATGCGCACTTCAATTCTAGTACCTGAATTTTGTGCTAATGCGCGTGGTTTAAAATACTTTGCACCATTTTGATCCCGATACTGTTCTGATGTATACCACATAGCCTTTCTAGTAATGGTAAATTAAAGCCCGTAATAGAATTTGTTGAATTCTAACAAAAAAACGCCTATTTATGTATTTGGTTTAAGGAAAATGTCAATTGAATGATTAATCAAAAACAAGAGGCGTTTTTGAGACTTCATTAGCAAATCCACTAGTGCTCCAGTGCCCGATGACAGAATTCTAGGCACTTGAATGAATGAATGAATGAATTAATTAATTCTACTCATACGTCACAAAACTCAATTTGTTTCATGACTGGATCATAACAAGGTCTGGATCTTTTCATTTTAGACTCAATCCTATGGCTTGTTCTTGAAGAGCAATATTACACTAACTGGACCCATGGAGGGCTACCAACCCATCTCACCCATTATACTCGAGGTATGCCTTTTATTTGTTCCATTGCTTTGCAGCCATCTTTTCCTTTTTTTAACTAAATGTTACTTAAGCGGTTAATAAGTAGGATAATTATCTCCAGATTTTGGGCCGCAAATACGCGATGAAAAAAGTTTTAATAAGGTCTATTAAATGTCACCATAAGAACGAGGTAGAGAAGACAGTTATAAAAAATTGACTTAGGAAGCAGAAGTCTTCGACAAGCTGAAAGAAAATTAAAGAAGCGGCCTTCGGATGAGGGTTGTGGTGCTGGTGAAATGGAGGTAGCAGAGGTACAGGGTGAATGCGTTTAAACATCAATTAAATGCAGTATTCAGGGATGGCATCAAATAGTGGAAAGGGCTTAGAACACCGCGGAAAGATATTAAAACTTTTAATCCCTTTTGAAAACCTTTGAAAAGGAACATTGGTTGGAACACCTCATTTTTAGACGAGCAACTCTGTAGGAGCTCCTTCAATTTCGACTATTTCACTAAAGTTTCTCAATGCAAGCTCAAACCAGACCCCAATACTCAACTCAGCGAAGATTGCCAGGTTAAACTGCCATATTGAATGAGGTTTCTCTGATCCACATTGCAAGATGTGGGAAACATCTGACTTGAAGGAAATTTATTGCTTTACATCATAAAACTTCTTCTCAGTTTTAAAACAGAGGATAGTTAGGAGAGAATAGAGAGACAAGCACACATTACGTAGCTATTAAACAGACTTGATTAGAAGCCCAATACCCGTTAGTGAGAGTAGTAGATGAAACCGATGTTGAGAAGGACGAAGGCAGAACAAAATTGAGGTTAATAGGAGGTTTATAGGAAACTGGAAATTTATTCATTTTGTGAATATTCTGATTAGGCGATGGAACGAGATATGGACATACTATAGTTTGTGATAGCGTGTTAGTGGCTTTTTCCCTTTACTTTTCTTATATTTATCTAACCATTAATTGTGATTTAATCATAGCTTCACTTGAATAAATTATGAGTTGAATATAACGGAACTATCTGAATCTTCCATTCAAGGGTAACGGTGAGAAGGTCTACTACTGTGGACCCTCATCTCAGTCAAATCTCTACACCAGTGAAACCGGTTACCAGAACCAGATGCTATTGCGTCTAACAGAACGTGACGGATGGATGGTAGGGGGCCCAGACTGCAATGAAAAATCTCGTCCAGCTACTCGTGATCAAATGATGAAGGTGCTCGCGAATGTGCAAAAGCTTCGATTCCGTGTAAACTTCTATGATAAGCAGGAGACCTACCAGTTAGATAACTTGCAACTTGAACACGCCACACCCACTGACTTCCCAGGTGCTTTCTATCCTGAAATGGAGTCTTGCAAGTGTCCCGAGGGTTATAAAGGATTGTCTTGCCAGGTAATCATTGCTCACTATGCACATTAAACTATTCATTGCTTGTTTAACGGATGGATTAAATGCTTTCAAGCAATGTGAACGAGGTTTCGAGCATGATCCTGCTGATCCTACAAAGTGTAGGCCTGCTTGCGCTTGTGAAGAATGCGATGAACAAGGAAATTGTATTGCATGCTCGAACAACGCTGCTGGACCAGATTGCACTGAATGCAAGATTGGATTCTACCGACCTCTCGACCAGCCTATCTCTTCACCATGCCTCCCTTGTGATAAATGTGGTGGTGACTATCCTCAGTAAGTGAAGTTTTTAACTTTTACTGAGTCTACACCATGTGATTGCAATATATAAGTATATTGTCGGCTGAAACTTCACAAAGAAAGTAATTGGAGGCAGGAATTCGAAGGGGAAGAAGGTTTTGATGAGACTTCAACAAACCCTGAATTTAACTGCTAGTTAGCAGAAAGTTCCTGTAACTCAGAGATCTTGCGGTGATTTAGTTTACTTGCATACGGGATATTTTATTGGCGAAAGCATCACTACAACTATCGATGTATCGAGTACCACTGGTGAAGTTAAAGTGGATGATTTCCATAGGTGAATGATGATCCGCAGTTTCCCAACTAGCCTAAGGTAGTGGCTTGTGGTCGGGGGAAGATAGTGATTTAGTATTTTAGGATCTTTTATTGAACGCATTTAAAGAGAACTTAGTTAAGTGGTCATGCTAATAGATGAATCTGCATAGCAAAATTGTGTACGCTTGCATTTGCCCAGTGAGACAGCCGGCTGTGCCTAGAGGTCAAACATTTGCTGCTATATACGTCCTTTAAGTGAGAACTGGAAGGAAATCAAATCAGAGGAACGAAGGGCGCCATTGAGTCAAAGAGGTTTGGAGTAATCTAAGAGTGAGAGTACAAGTGGCGCTTACTCCGAGCCAAATATAGTGGAGGACAAATCAAATGTTCTTTACCGCTGGAAGTGATGCTATTAGCTGTCAACGATAGAAAAGACTTTTCTCTTAGGTTCACCAGAGGCTTGAATATTCCATATCAAACATATTAATCGTCTTTTAACTTTTTCACTGTAGTGTTAGCAGGGATTGTGCAGCGGATCCATCCTCTCCAGATGGCTATAGGTGTCGATGTGAATTGAGAGGAGATGGACGTCTTCTGGATGATTCTTGTGATCTGTGTAAAACTGAAAAAGTCCCACCCCCAGAAGCTAAATGTGAACAACGTTCTGAACTTTTGAATATCTGCAATCCGGCGGGAACAGAGACTATTACTACCAATGAAATCTGCACCTGCAAGGTGAGTTGATTTCTGACGAGAAGTCTCACGTCACCGGATTTATCGTTATCATATAATTCAACTTTAGGAGGGCTACAAGGGTGACCGCTGTACAGAATGCGTTGATGGTTATATGAAACATGGTGATAAGTGTCTAAAGTGCTACTGTTCTGGAACGACCAAATCTTGCACAGGTTCTGAGACTCACTTCTTCGAAAACATTTCTCTGGTAAGTTACTCTGCACTTCACTTATTTGACCTGAAATGAATTACTAACAATAGAAAGATAATGGATTGTTCTAGCACTTCTATACTTTTTGAGACTGAAGCACTGAAGTGTAGATTGACTAAGACCCATCAGCGTGAGAGGCTGTCCATTTAAGCTATTACCACTGCCCCCAGTCACCACCTTGATTAAAATGACACCACCAAACTCAAGGTCATGAAAAGTGAGGTGATGTTAAATACAGATAATAAAAGAAACCCAGAATTACCGTCCACCTTGCCGTTTCTTTACAAAGAACGAGGCTCTGTAAAGCTATATAATATATACAATTCTTGTCGAGTGGTTGAGAGTACCTTCAAAATGACAAAGCCAGTAACTTGAGCTCCACTTATCTTTATCTTGTTCAACTCGAATTCGGTGAGTCAGTTTTGGAGAGTGCATATTCACATATTAGTGATTCATGCTTCGAATCCACACATATATCTTTTATTCTGATGAGTCGGTGCCTGAAAAGAGACCTAAGTCGAAATTGTCCCAAGTCTCTAATATGTCAGTTAGATTTATTCTTCTTGCCAATCACCATCTTCCGTGACACCATATGCGTCCATCTGGTTTTGTGTGAAACTAGTGCACTTCCGCATTGATTTATGAGTTTGTATGAAGGTGAACATCGCACATTTGGGCCTGTTAAGTTTGCATCTTCTACTTGAAAATATGTACAATATCAAAATCGCATATAGACTGCCAAATTATTTATATCAAATTACAGGCTTTATGATAGTCATCATTAGCCCTGTGGTTGACTTTGGGCTTCACAGAGGGGAGGAGCATCAATGTGAAAAAAGTCGAGAGGGGGGGTGGGGGGAGGTGGGATGAGACAGAAGGATGTTTCACGTATGTGAAAGGGGCAAACAAAAAAAAGTGGAGAGAAAGGTAAAGTAAGGTGAGTACTGCGAAAGAGGTCGAATATGACATACATTCGGGTCATGGTAGTTTGAAGTCGGGGGTCAACTGACGGTTTATAGGCATTTTTGGCATATGAGTAAACGCTGCCCTTGGTGCATCACATGGAGGTAAGTCTTTCGCGCACCCCAGGGCTGCTAAATATAGTCCCTAATAGATTAAATCTGCATCACCTTAAATGTGACATGCATTCAATATTTTGCGTGAAACCAATTCGAAAAAATACATGACCATGAAATAGCCTCGATTCGGTGCTTTAAATCTGAAATACCGAATCTTTATTTATTCTATTAAAATATCACTACGTATTTACTTTATATCATCACTGTTGCTGTTCTCGCGGTTTCGGACCTGGCTATAGGGACTCAAACTGTCTCATTGCGGACTGTTTCAAATTTATTAGACATGTAAAGTACATAATAAGCACTAATTGGAAATCGATTGATGAAATCCATAATTTGCTCGCACTCAATTTAGTTCCTCAGCAATTTGTAGGCCCCCCCCCCTATTGCCTAAATATTGATCTCAATTTAGAGATAATGGAAAAGCTCAAAGCAAGTCTCGTATGACTAAATTGGTAAATCTATTCCCCCCCCTTTTTTTATTATAGTAATCTATTTATTTCATAGGCAAATCCAGGACGGTACAAATTCGACATCTTCTTGGCTAGGAAAATGATCAATGGTGAACTGAGCACTGTTCCACTTGTCGACTCAGATAAGAAGCGTATTGAGCGTGTATACTCCCCTTTGAATGTGGATAAACTTGGTCTCCCTGGTGATATCTTAATTCGTGAACCCCTAGTGAGTGATGGTACCTCGAGGATTTCCATAAAACTAACTGATCTTCAACGTGGTCCTGAGGAAACGGATATTCCAATCTATGTAAACAATCAACATTCCATATTTGAACTTACTAGCTCTTGGTCTGATAATTCATTCACTTTGATAAATATTTTCAAATATTCAGCGCAATCTATATGGAGGCAAAATGTCGTTCCAATTCAAGCGATTCCAAGACCCAGGAACAGTGCCTATATCTGCTAATAACCAACTTTTCGTCGTGATCGAGGTAATATTATTTACCTAGAATTGGTACATAGCCTAGAAGTACACACACTTGCTAAGCTACTGCTCCTATCTATTTATATTAAATGGCAGGCTTTGTGATGGTTATCCTTAGCCCTTTAGTTGACTTCGGGAAGTGGGGGGGGGGGACAGAAGAGTGATTCCCAGATGTAAAAGAGACGGTCACAAAGGCAGAGAAAACAGTAAAGTGAGGTGAGTACTGTGGAAGTGGTCGAATATGACATACAGCCGTGCCATGGTAGTTTGAAGTCAACTTCAGGTTTATGGTGCCCAGGGTGCACCAAGTGGAGGTAAGTCTGTCGTGCACCCCGCTACTGGTCCTATAGGTTAGAACAATTTGGAACAAAACAACTAAGTTTTATCAAATGGAATAACGCTATGGAAATAACGTCTCATTCAGAGTCTGAGTATGTTGAAGTGATTAATGTTTAAGGCAGAGCTTGATTTAGCACAGTGATATAGGAATATATTATTATTTATAAGCTTCAGCAGAGGTTCAGTATTAACCTAAGCGCACGCATATCCGGGTCGAATTAGACGGATATGCACTCAAACTAGGGAAAACTCGTTTAAGGACACAGATTCTGGAGCCTATCGTGGCTAATCTTATCTCATGTTGGTTCCTAACTTTTTTTAACTTCTTCTAGTCTCCCAAATTCGGAACTTCTCAAGCCATAGCCGCATTCAACCCTAATACTCAGCGCTATGAAGTTGAATTCTCAGAAGACTGGTGGAATGGTGGTTGGCGAGCACTAGATTCAAAGCTCTCCCGAGCCGCTCTCCTTCGCGTCCTGGGTACAGCTGACTCAGTTGGTATATCTGCTGTTTCAATCAATAATGATCTCGAAAATGCTCGAATTGGTGGTCTATCTCTTGAAGTCGCGCGGGATTTCGGTGGAAATCCTCCGGAGGGCCTATCATCTGCTCCTGTCGAAATTTGCGAGTGCGAAGCATCAGGAGGCCGAAGTCTGTCACCAAGCTGTGAAGTGAGCCAATCCTTGAAACTACTTCCACCCCATAAAAACGCTAGACAAACAAGTTATTGCATTCTTTTCTCTTTAGGGTTGTACAGAGCTTCAGAAGTCGACTGTGGTGAATCTTGATCCTTCTGGTCCAGACTTCCAGTGCGGTGGATGTAAAGGACCAGGTTGTGAAGAGTAAGAACAGTTTAAATCCTACTTGCAATAATGGAATGTGATCAAATGTTAAAACCTTACGCTTCCTTTTAGGTGTTCTGCTGGCGAATTCAAGTACGATTTTCTCACAAATACAATGCACGAAACATGCCAAAAGGGTGGGTCTCTTCTGCGCTTTGTTTAAAAGACATAACCATTCATGCATATTTCTGTCTATGAGTGTAATAAGAGTAATCTTGCACGCACTCTATTGGAATAAAATGCGTTATTCAACTATTTATGTTGGAATGTCCTATCATAGATATCATTGACACACAGAGGAATAAATGTTTACTAAGTTAGAGTAAATATATACTCGTTCAATCAGAGTAACCATCTCAGTCCATAAATGCATTCTGCTGTATTCTACTCACAAATCACCACAAATAGACTGTTGTATAGAGATGGCTCCTAGATAAAACTCACTCTTATTTCTTGCCTTAGAAGACAAAACCACCTCTGAATCAGTGATTATTTCGCTCAATCATCCAAACTCAATACTAATTATGTCAAAACCGGAGTGTAGGTTGGGGTTACACGTAGATGTATGGAATAGGAATTTCTTCCACAGCATTGGATGATGATAATTGATTTTCCTGGCAGTCACTTATTATGAAAGTGGGGCCAACCTTATTGTTGCCGACTAACAGTTACCAAGTATTAGCACTTATCACCTGCCTGTCTTCCCATTCTTTTCACGTGGCCATTATCAGGTGTCGAAGTGGAGACCGATGGCCGAGTGGTGATTGCAAAGCCAGGAAGTCGTGTTGAGTTGGCTTGCCGTGCAACATCTTATCGCGGTGGTATTCCAGTCCACACTTGGCGTCTGCCTGCTCAAATCGCTGACTCAAAAGACTTTACTGTTCATCGGGAGCTTTTGCCCTTCAAACCACGCCTGGAAAATGGTACATGGACTCCAGTCACCTCGGAAACCAGACTGCTAATCGATAATGCTAAAGAGGAATATTCCGGTCTTTATGAATGTCAAGTCGCTGCTTTAGGAGCCAATCTCACTGAACCTTTCTATCTCGTTATTAGAGATCCTTGTAAGGACAGTGGTTGATCATTTTGAGGCTCATTTAATTGATATGTTTGCTGATGAACCGTTGATGATTCTTTAGCTAAGGACCAACCTGTTAAACCTGGTGACACGTTGAATGAAGAATTCCCTGTACCTTTACCGGTTCCTATCTCACCACCGGTTGCTGAGTACGTAACCATCGCCAAAGATCCAACGGATCCTAAAATAGTCGTTATTGAAGGAAAAATCATTCCAGTAAGTTACATTTGACATTTTCTCAACCTCTAAATCTCTGTACGCTCATACCCTATTTTATTTCTTCTTATCAGCCAAAAAGCCTAGATGATTTCCACATTATATGGCTAGCACCGAATGGAACTCGGATAATCCCAGTTGATCCTCCAGTAATAGATCGAGGAAATGGTGAATTTAAAATTCGTTTGCCAATCGATCTTGATGAATTTGATAAACGCGGTGAAAAGATCACCGGCTTCCTCGTTGGTAAAGATCCCATCAAAACTCCAATTTGGGTACCCCTACCCGAACCGACGAGAATGAAAGAGCCCGCAACTTTGGGTGGGACAATTTTTGTGTTAATTTCAGGCTTAGATTTAAAGTAATTTTAGTTGACGAGATCTATATTTCTTTTGTATGCAGAGGATATACCTAGGATTCGTTTGAACTATCCATCCCGCAATCTCTCGTTCCTTGAACCAGCGTTGATATCAGTTATCTATCCAGACGGAAAACCAAAGAATGCGAAAATAACCTGGAGAAGAGTAGGCACTCATCCACTTGAAAGTAACGAATTTCCCGATGGACTCGGTGTGGATAGAAATGGCAATCTTGTGATATATGCAGCGGGCGAAGAACATGAGGGCTCTTACGAGGCTACTATCACCTTCCCAGAGACTGGAAAAGAGATTAAACTACAAACGCAAATCACTGTTGAGCCCTGGTCCTCGCCTACGAAGATTGAAGTCTCCTCAGGACAAGCTGGTGAAGTCCCTGAAGAAGCAGAGGGTGTGGAACCACCTCAACTTACTGATGACAAGTCTTTTATCTACTATGTTTCCGGCTTCACACCAGACTCGGCACATTGTGAGAATCCTAAGTGGGTATTGGTGGACAAGATTAGAAATACTACAACTGATATCACGGAAAAAGGTATAGTTTTAATATCGAACCCAACCCAACCCTAGATTTATCACGGATATCGTCTATAATGATATTTCCTTCCTTTGTTCTATAGTCAATCGAGAAAATGCTGCGAGATTCATTATTAACTATCCTCTGGCAAGTGGAAAGTACATCAAATTTGAATGTCTTCCAGTGCCTTCAGTGAATCTATCTGGATCACTTGAATTCAACATTGGTAAGACTGTAGTTAATGGGGGTTTATCTGCATAGATTGGGTGAATCAGTTGATTATGCAACCTTATATTTTCCCTTCCAGATTCACCTGATGTCCGAGTTATGCTGACTCCTATCCATGATGATCCGCACTCCATCTTCCCAACAAGACTTTATTGTGGTGAAGGAAATCCTGATATTGTTGCTGAAGTTTCAATAACATCGGATAATTTTAGTCAAAAAGAAATGGAGGTATTTTAAGGCAACATTTGTTTGTTGGTCTCTACTTTTTATTCCAATTCTCTAACTTCGAGAAGGTGTAACTTGGTTAGATAATATGGATTTCTATTAATCATTTTTTTAAAAAAAATAATTCGCTAAATATTCCACCAGGGATTATAATACGTGATAGGAGTTCAATATACCAAAATCTGCGCATATTGAGAGAAAAGAAAATACGAAAACCCACCGAAATGAAACTCTAAATTTTATTTCTCGCACTGAAAAAATGGATAGAAGATTTGCAATCTATGCCCTTATAGAGGATGTGGTGTGTAACGTAACCATAGTCAAGGTATGACGTGGGGTATGTTTTGCTTGACCAAATCGTAAGTGACATGAAACCACTACTAGTTGACATACATAAGTAGTAATTTGAGTTTGACATAAATGCAACAAGATCTTTTGATGACCAGGCTGACAGGCATCTTATTGCTGACAACTTCATTCAGGTTCTGCTATTCATCCCTATAGACTGGGAAGAGTGTAGATATTTGGAATCAATTATCGCTTTTTGGCATTTTTGACTTCGTAAGGTCGTACCTCTTACTTATATTTCTAACTTGTCTTTACCTTTAAGGCTATGGAGAAACCCAGAGGCAAAGATACCGAAGAAGTGGAATTGGATTGGCGTCGTGTTGGTGGTTTCCAGCCTTCGAAACACGCAGTGAAGTACGTGTGCACAGCAAAGACTCCAAAGGGAACTGTTACAAAGACGATTGAAATCAAGGCTAGACCGATTCCTGATGGTAAGTTCTCTTAAGACGAAACCCCTGTTTAATAACCCTCATAAGTCCAACTATCATATTGGTAGATCTGGAACTAGTTCCAAGACCCACAGTCCCAAAGTTGAGGGTATCATCTCCTGGTCGAATTCTCGTTCCAACTGGTGAAAATCAGTATCGATTAGACGTCAGAGAGGGAGATTCTTTTGAGGTGAGTTATTTCAATGGATATTGCACTATCAATAGGATGTAAAAAACTTGCTCAACAATTACTCTGTCCCTCCTTTAGGTGATTGCTGACTTTGATGCGCAATCTAACGATGGTGAAATTGCGTGGTCATTGGATGATTCGATGGACGTACCAGAAATCACGGTTGAAGGAGGCCATTCTTGGAAACGAATCAAATTTACTGATGCTCCGACACTGTTCGATGGGAAAGTCCTTAACGTAGCCATCAACACTCCGGAAGGTGAAAGGACTGCTCAAGTTACTCTTGCAGGTGGGAATTGGAATGACAAACATAATTAATAACGTAGAGAATAGTAAGATTGACGAAGGCACACATATATATTTATTTATTACTAATTTTAGTTTCCCCAAGTGACCGGACATATGTTATCGTAAACTTAAACAGCTCATCTCTTATTAACGGAGACCTTATCGGATTAGTTAACGGTGATATGGCAATTGATGTTAAAACCCTGAGTAAGTCAAAAATTTAATACTTTCACAAGCACCTAAATGTTTAGGAAAATCATTGATTTGTTGAATCACTAATAGGTCCTGACGGTCGCGATCTTCCGAAAGATCTTGCTACCTTCTGGCGTATTTCTCGTGCAAATGGAGAGCCTATAACATTGGAAGACGGTATATTAGCTCAACGATATAGTCAACCAAATCCACTACGTCTTGAACTACAGGGATTCCCCCCAGATCCAACTGAATTCTCCATTTCAGCAGCTGTGGTAGTTCCAATGGATGAAACAAAAGAAGTCTTCACTTCAGTCCCATATCGTTTGATCATTCGTGAGGGTCTCATCAAAGCATTCATACATGGTCTCACTGAACCTGGAGTACTTTCTGGGCGTGAACTCGAAACTGTTGGAGCCTCGTGTGTTGCACGAGACATCTGGAGAAATGATACAAGTGAAGGCGTTACTTATGATTGGGATTATGTGATTCTCCCCGACAGTGCTGGAGATGAGCTCCCGACAACTGGTGATAAGATTAAACATGACGAAGAAACACAGGCTGAGGTTCCGTGGTCGGCCTTAACTTTCCAGGATAATTCAATCTACATGGGAAACTTGAGAAGTCGACCTGGTTGGGTAACAAGCATTCGCTGTCGAGCTAAAGCGGAAGATTCAGATAAAGAGGTGGTATCGGAGTGGTTTAGACTAAATGTTATTCCTGGTGATATTGGTAAGCTAATTAAATATTGAACTCGTCGATAAGTCTTTAATTTGAGCAATGATTGTGGCACTTTTGTTTAGCTGCCAAGTTCCCCAAGATTGAAATACGGCCAACATTCGATCCAGAGATCTCCAGATTCCCAACAAAAATTGAATGCATAGATACAAATACAGACGTCCCTTCAACGGTAACTTGGACAAAGGACGGACAAACTCTCCCACCTTCAGTAAGTATTAACATCTAGTACTTTCTTTAAGTAGGGGAAAATACTTCTCTCGGAGGTGGTTGTAGCTGTCGAAGTTGTTAGATTAAGCACTGGAAGGGCCCATATAGCCAAAAGATAACTCAACGATGAGTAGCAGGTCATGCAATGGTTCCATGTGGGGTCACTTCAAGGGGTTTGCGCTCCAATTAGCATTAGGCAATACAAAGTCTTGAATCCATACGCTATAAATAGCCTATCTAAAATAGGGCACCTTTGGCCCAATGCTCAATGCGAGTCAGTAGCCATTAAATCTACGTCCAGTGATGTTGATGAATGATCGCTCTGGTTAATTTTGGGTCACAAAAGGGGCAGTGAAAATTGACTTCATCGTAAGATAAGAACCAAGAAGCCGTCCATCTATCTATGTTAAGTGTTTCTTTAAAGGTTATATTCAAAATGCATTAAAATATTTGACTTCACGTTCAAGATGAGAGGTTAGATTGAGTGGGTAGTGTTCATGATATGGAATTATGAATTATTAAATTGAGTTAATCCATGGCAGAAGACAGATCAAGGCATGCCAACTCATCCCTCCCCCCTCCCAGCCTTTACACTCCACGTCTAAGCGACTCTAATTCAGCTGATCTCAATAGTCATCGTATTCCCCTGTTCGACCTGGGTTTAGTATCCATCGTACTAAGATGTTAATCAATTACTTCCTTTCTATTGCAGGTTAACATTGAAACCGATGTAAACAAAGCTACGCTCTCATGGTCTGTTGGGGGTTCAAATGAATTTTCACCAAGAGATTTGGCTGGAGCTTACACTTGTGAAGCTAAGAATGAATACCGTACGGTCACTGAACGCCTGTTTCTTCCAGCTGACATCATGGACAAACATGGTATGTTTCGTTTCAATATGCGAGTGAAATCAGTTCCCAAAGCACGGCGTATTAAAATTTTACTAATGCTTTATTATTTGTACTACCTGTGACCCTTAAATCTGGTAGCAAATGCTTTAAATTAAGGACTTGTGCGTTTTAAAAAGAAATTTAAACATTCAAATCTTTGACTTTTAGATCAAGTAAAAGTGCCGATAGCGAAGGAGTATATCCGCATCAAGTCGACTTACAAGCCAATAGAAGAAACTGATGGTCAAAAGAGTGTGGTCGTGGATGAAGGCGAGAATTTTGAAGTAATGCAGTCTGAATGCTACTTACTAGTTTTAAGAACATCCTTCTTATTTCATATTTATTTAAATTTAGCTTGTCTGTGAGTACTACGGTAACCCAGCTCCAGACGGTGGATTGAGCTGGCGACTAACCCACGATGGAGAGAGCTCAACTTACGATTCATTGGCAAAAGTCAATGGCCTGGTCTGGGAACGTGGACGAAATTACTGGGCTCTTGTTCAGTCGGATGCGTTCAATAAATACGCACCGCAGACTGGAACCTACACTTGCGAAGCTCTTGATCAATCTGGAAATGTCCTGGCATCGGATTCCGTCAATGTAGACGGTAACCTAATATTTCGCGTCCTAATGAACAACTTTCGCACAAAGAGATTTATAATGCATTACCTCTTTTGTCGTTTTATTTTTCAGTTCCCGAGAAGGAGTATGATGTCAAAGTAGAAGGTCTAAACGATTTCGGTGTTCTTCGACTTCAACCTGGAGGTAGTGGTAGTGTGAAATGTCGTGTTACAGGTCAGTGTTTTAGTTTTTTAATTATCTACTAACATTCATTATTCACTCATAAATGCAATGTAATGTAATGTGCTTAGAATCAGAATGATAAACAGAAGAAAATAGAGAAAGCAGAGATCTTTATTATTAAGCTATTTTTATTGATTTGTAGGGAGTTAGATTTATTAGCCTCTGCCATTGAGCTTTAGCCTTAGTAAAATAGTATAGAATTGAGATAAAAAGTGGAATTTCTCAATAAAATTGATTTAATGTTTATTGCCTAATTCTGTAGATCCCAAAACAGGCGAATTGTTGGAAACCTTTGGAAGGCTGAAAAAGATTGAATGGATAGGACCATTGGTCGAGTCGACTGGCATAAAATCTCTAAACGACCTGGCTGAATATGTAGGTGTTTCTGGGGAGGATCTCAGTTTCCAAAATGTCCGCGCCGATCTATCAGAAGGCACGAAAGCCAAGTGCGTCTTTTTCGATGGCAAAAATCGCAAAGAATCCGATCCCTTTTTGATATTGGTCAGAGGCGAAGGCGGTACTGATGGTAAAAACAAGGCAATTGTGGAGGAAATGAAATCAACCGATCCGAATGAACGACGCTTCCAGTGCAATGCATTTGGTAAGCGTCACCTAATCATTTAACTCAGTTCTTGCCAAACCTTTATATAAAATCAACTGTGCTATTGTTTAACTTCGTAGACACTTTCAGTGGGCAACGTGTGGAGGGTGCTATAATTTCGTGGCACTTTGTTACTCCAGATGGTAATAGAATTCTTCCCGGTCACCTGTTTAAGGAAGTTAACAGAGAGGGCAATATGATTGCACTGTCAAGTCTTCGAGATGATGTCAACTTCCAAACACTCTATGGTGGTGCTCCAATTGTTGAAGGCCGATGCTTTGCGCATATACCAGAAACAGGCAAGATCTACCGCTCGGATGCTTTCATAACCATTGGCGTACAACAACCAGGAGAAAAACCTGAGGAAATCAAAGATACAAAACCAAAGAGTAGGTTTTTTTTGCTGAAATTGCATTTCTCAAATTAAAAAAATTGTTAACACAAATGAGAACATAAGCTCAACACCCAGTTTCAGAAGTATACTGAACTGAAGTTCGTAGAATCGAAGCAGAAAACGTGAGCATCTAATAGTCCATCTGCTTACATACGATTTCTTCTAAGTTACAAAATCCATAAAGCAAAAAGAACTATAAAGGGTTAGGCTCTATCGCGTTGTGTGAAGCCAACCAATCATCAATCAATAAGCTTTCGAAGTGGGTAAAAGAGTTGACATTAACGATAATGGGTAAAGCGGTCAATTCTAAGTAGAATGTGAGGTCTACAGTGAAGGAGCAGTTCAGGAAATCAGGAAGAAAAGCGAATTTGAAGGAATTAGAAGTGGAAGTTGCCAATATTGCAATGTATTAAGAAATAGATTTGAACAATGCCCAAGAATCTGTCATTTATAATTCTTAAGTCGATCAGTCAAAAGACTATGTTTTGACAACAAAAGATAAGAACTGAAGTTAAAGTTGTTGAATCATTTTACCCTTGGTATATTAAAGTATTTTCATTCGTTTGATTTTTTTTGCATTTTGTTACGTCTCATTTAATTACCAATGAATTATTTACTTTCAGAAGATACACCGCATCTGAACATTGAGGGTGATAAAAATGGTGAGGTACCGTTTGAAGAGGGCGGTGACGCTTCTCTGAAGTGTCTACTTGAGGGTAATTTTATGCTTCTAAATTACGTCGATACCTCTTCCAAATCTGGCTAATAACCAATCTTCAATTTATAGAAGTTAACCCAGAATCGCCAAAATTCGGGAATGGCTACACCTATTTATGGCAGATCGAACGTAAAGACAAACGACCTGTGGATACATCAGTAATTGCTAGAAACATTGAAGTGAACGCTTTACCAGAAGGTGGGCTCGAACTCAAACTGGTTGGCCTCAAAGCATCTGCCGCTGGTCTGGAAGCCAGGTGTTATGTTCTCAATGAAACAGATAAAACAAATCCACAATTTTTGGAATTCCCAAGTGGTGAATCCAGTGTTAGATTCGTTCCCATCAAACCAACTCCACCTGGTGAAAAACCTAGCTTTGCAGGAATGTCTGATTATGATATAAGTAAGTCATTTTAACGCTTGTTATGAAAGAAGGCTATCAAACTTAAATAAACTATCCTTCTTTTACTTCTAATGCAGTTCCTGAAAATGACAAGAGGAATAAGTATGTTGTGAAACTGGAAGGTTTGGACGACCAGGGTAGACTTTCTGCACCTCTTGGTTCGAATTTGACGTTGTATACAAAAGTTCTGGGTAAGTGAAGCTTCATTCTAACTTTCGTCTCTAACCAATTTTCGCAAATCCATGTACGTGAATTAAATATATATTTTAGACAAAGAAAGTGGCGAAGAAACGACACCTAGTGGCCTTATTTGGAAGACCGCTGGAGTTGAAGTTGTACATGCAGATGGAAGTCCAGCACCTCTAAGTCATCTCGCTAAACAAATTCGCATAGACTCTAACTCAGGAGAAATCAAACTGCTGGAATTCAAGTAAGTTCTATCAACCACTATCAAGACCCATTAAGTGAGGAGATCTGTCCAATATCATGACCTCGAGTTTAGTCTTTCGAATGGGAAGAAAAATCTGGCGTTTTGAAGTTTATATTCGATGCTTTAGCGTTGGAAATTGAGGACATTCTATGAATTAGTCGTCATTGAAATATTGATAGTCAAATTCTTTAAGAAACTTACCAAAAGCGGCCTTGTCTAAGGTTTACTAGACGTATACACAAACACATACATACATCAGTTTGGAAAATTAGATGACTTTTTCATGGATTTTAAAGATGCTTGTTAGTACGAACTGATCGAATTAAAACAACCCATAATTTTGTTTCTGAATTACAAAGCGCCAAAAAATGTTTAAAATAGTTATTTATTATGATAGTAATTATTATTGATAAATTATAATAACCGAATGTAAAGCATTGGTTATCGAATGAAAGAGCATTCGTTGGTAAGACGCCTTCCTGATCATTGATTTTTCGCTTTTAAAGCCATTTAATGAGTATTTTTAAAAATGCTTACCATATTAAAGTAAAGCATCAAGCGTTTCTTCCTTTTTTTCAAAACAATAGAGGTGACTCGGAACTAACAAAAGGAGGCGATTTATTTGTTCGTGTAATTGTGGAAAAGACGTCCGAAGACGATAAGAAACCCAGACCTGGACAAATTGGTGATCCCAATAAAGAACGCTATGCTTCCGCCCTCATTCCTGTAGCAGTTGCGGATAGGGAGGAGGAAGGTGAGGGAACGCAATGCCTTTAATTTTTATGTACTACTTTAATTCAAGTAATAGTACACACACATCCAATCTTCATATCCTCTTTTAAGATAATCGTGAAAAAGTCGAGAAATCGCCAACTCTGACGCCTATTGTTCATGGACTCAGCAAGTGCTACACATTGCCACTGCAAGCTGGAAAAGATGCTACGTTGTCCTGCAAAGCTAGAGGTAATTCACTGAGTCAACTTTATATTCATGCTCGCTCCTTTAAGCACCATTTCAGTGTTCGTCAGATAAAGCACTTGACGGGTAGGGTTAAGCGGGGGGTGGGAGAGATATCTTAAAATTCATTTGGCGGTTAAAAGTTTTAAATAAACTAACAACCACCCTGCTTATTCAAAATAGGCCGTTTCTAGCATTTGTGTATCCTGCGTGTGGTGTTCTTCTAGGCTAAATAGAAGAAAGATTAACTTTTCTCGTCTAATTCACTAAGTACCTAATTGAGCTTTATTTAATTGGGAGGTCAAGATGAGGAATGGCAATAATGCATTAAAAATCGAAGGAACACAGAAATGGTTGTGGAACTAAACAAATCTAAAAAAGCATATCTTTGGACTGTACTATAATGAAAACTTAATTTGGGAGAATGTATTAATGAAAGGACAATCGATGTGCCGGGGAGGGGGGGGGGGTTGATCCTGTATCCAAGGATTTACAGTCTTTTGAGTCTCTACATCCATCGCAACATGAATTATCACTATTTTCCATGTGCTTAACATCTGGTTTTACCATCGTGAGGGATCATAATGTCTGTTGACCACTTTGACTAATTTTCACCAGATCTACCTATTGGCTGAATGTTTGATGATTATAATCTATCTTTTTCGGACTAAAATCTTCTCTCTTTCATAGGCATCTCAGACGACAGTGATATTGTGTATTCCTGGGCATTCCATACGCCTGAGGGTCGACCCGTATCGGTAGATAAGATCGCAAAGACCATTGTTTCATCAGGTGGTCTCTTGACTCTCAATAACATGAAAGCATTAGTCGAAGGTGAGAGCCTGCTTGGTCACTGTGTATTAGCAAGAAAGAAACTTATCTCTCAGAAGTTCTACGGTCGAGACTTCCTTGTTGGACCCCAATGCGGACCAAGTAAGACCAGTTTCTATATTTCCAGCAAGGTTTTATATATACGATTTACATGAATGACATTTTTATTTCTTCTCATTTCTACAGTGGAAAATGAATTTGCCCGAGTTGAGGAACTACCAAGCGTAGACCCAGACCAGCGAAGATTCAGATGTATTGTTACAAGTAAGTTTTGATCAAGTTACTGTTGAAATATTCGTTATTGAATGTATTCGAATGCCAATTTTCCCCTAGAACGTGATGATGGATCTATAATAACGAATGCCGCTTACAATTGGGAATTCTCAACACAATCGGGTGAAGTTATTCTCCCAGGGCACTTGTTTGAAAACGTCGAAATGTTCAGTGATAGTGTTGTACTTGGAAGACTACGAAGTGATGTTGATATTGCAAAGTACTTTGGGGATAGCAACCCAAGTGTCATTGAAGGACGCTGTGTGGCTATTATTCCTCCTGAAAGTCCTGGAGATGAATCCAAGAAGGTATTCTCTGATCCGATGGTCAAGGTCTCCAAAGATGATGCTACTAATGGCCCCAAGTACTCAATTACTAAAGTCGTGGAAGGTTAGATTTATTGAATGCTGAGTTAATATCAACATTTGGTGGATGTAACGGTCAATATTTTCTTATCCCAGATGACAAACCTAAAGTTGATATTATCGGTATCGAGGATGGAAAGTTGATTACCAAACCAGATGAAACTGTCGTTCTCAAATGCCTTGGAGTTGGTAAGTTCGGTCATTAATTAAGTGATGAAATCCTACTCCTGGATGAATTTCTTTCAAAGTTGAGTTTTTGTGATTTACAGACTATCAAACTGGCTCCAGTTTGAGCTACATTGAATACTCATGGGAGGTACAGACAAATGACGGTAGACCAATCGATAGTAGCGCTTTGGCGGAGAGAGTTGAATTGGCCCCATCTAGTGATGGTCTTGGATATGTACTCAAACTCATCGGAATGCGTCAGTCTGCAAATGGTCTTCGTTTGAGATGTGTTCTTCGAGGCGCTGGCGATAAAGATAAAGATACTCCTGTACCGGGAAGCCCTCTGAAACCAGATGAAGAAGCTCCGGGAGATTTCGTTGAAGTCGTTGTCGAAAAAGATCCTACTGAACCAGGAATTAAACTTGAGGAAGTTGATCCTAGTACGTAAATGGTTTTGTGAGAAGCAAAATAGGCTTGACGTCTAAACAACTTATCTGAACTTTTCAATTTTAGCCCCTGATGATGATCCAAGAAAGGCATTCCATGTTAAAATCGACGGTCTAGATTCCAATGGTAATTTGGCTGGACCAGAAAATTCTACCATCTCAATTAAGGCTGAACTTATAGGTGAGTACAGTAATAAACGGGATTAAAACCTCTCGATCAACTGGCAGAGGAGAAACTAAATTTTATTTGTATTTAACAGATGAATTTACTGGCGGTAAGGCCGATGTACCTCCTGGAGGCGAAATCATTTATGGATTGGAAGTCACGGATGCCGATGGAAATCCAGCTCCCTTGAATCGCATGGCTGACTCAATTGAAATTGACGCCAAATCGGGAGAGATTAAATTCATCAACTTTAAGGGAGATAGCCTTGAACCTGTGGCAAAGAGCATTCGTCTTAGAGTGATCGGTGAAATAAATGAACCCGGCAAACGTCAACGATTTGCATCTCCATATATCCACTCTGTAATAACAAAAGATGGTGAACCTGTTGAAGGTATGATATTTGCAAATATCTGAATCTATGAAATGCTCCAGAGTGGAAAGGACTCAACTATTATAGTTTTTATTACTTCGGGATTATATGGACAGATTATACTAACTTCTATACTTTTAGCGAATTTCAGTTAGATTTATTGCTTTCTCACACACCTAATCGCGACCAAGAAGATAATGAGGAATGAGCTGAAAGCAACATTCCAAAACATTCCGGACTTAACCAATGCCTTAACTTTCGTTCTGCTTAGTCGTCCACTACTTAGTAATTGTTACAGACTGCAGTCATGTGGATGGTAAAGGTCAACTTAGAGTAATTAGACGAATTTCGATGGTATTTTTCGTGAGTATGTAAAGTTGTGAAACATCAGCTGATTTAAACATATGCAGCAAAATGTATGGTTTAAATTATCATGTCGCATAGTTATTTGAACGACCTACGAGACCCGTATACCGTGTATATTTTGTTAATGTTAAAGATATGACTTCCAACAGTTCAAATCAAACTATGAGCATTATAGCTTGAGACGCATTGTTTCCTTTAGAAAATTGAACCCACAAAGCAATATTCCAATGTCAACAATGATAATAATAATACTTAATAATTATTCGTATTTGTAGTTTTGCCTTGACATATCATCCATGAAAAAGTGTGTAAACGACGTTTACCCTTCCATTCCATGACATTTCTATTGCACTCAGAGTTGTCACCTATTTTCTATATTTATTAGAATAAGAAAAGAAAGAAAGCATGAGTGTGTCAGGCTTTACAATGAGCCTTAATGCCTTTATTTCAATGATGATTAAAGTAAATGGGACGTAATAGAAATGGAATGAATGAAACGGGCAATTCATTGGGAATCAAATCTAAAGGCATTCAAGCAGGCGACTAAAAAATGGTGATCGGGGGACACAGCGCACTGCTTTTGCTCAGTCGATATTGTGACAAGCTTTCATTATTTCAGATGGAAGGCCCATTGGCAAAGCATTGGAAGAACTGAAACCACTGGTGGTTGGTCTAAGCGATTGTCGTAATTTGCCAATTGAAGTGGGAAGCCAATTGACTTTAATCTGTGACGTTAAAGGCAAGTGAAAAGCAAATATTTGTCAAGCAAACTAAGTCCCACTTGAAATCACTGACCTTTTACATTTAGGTCCAGAAAATGAGGTTGATAAACTCCTATTTGGCTGGGAGCTGAGAGACGAGAACGGAAATGCACTTCCCTTCCCTGGTTCAGTTGCCGATTTGGCGAAACAGTCTGGCAATAAACTGCAATTGATCGGTCTATACAAGCCCAACAAATCTGTCTACGGCAGGTGTGTTGTTGCTCGTCCAAGTGCTGGAAGCTCGAAATACCATAGCGATTACTTTGAAATCGGAGCTGAATGCAAACCATGTTAGTTGCCAGTTCTTCTAGTAATAAACACGCTCCAAAGATGTTGATTTTAGACTATTTTTTCACATTTTAGCTCCCCAGTCCTCCGTTAAAGTCGATGTACAAAGTATTCCGCGACACGATCCAGATGAAAAAGCCTTTGAATGCTTTGCATACGGTTAGAATAAATCTACCTTTAACATAACGATATTTCCTTAAATTAGCGTTAGCCAACTGAACGATATATTTACTATAGATTCTGCAACTGGTTCCCGCATAACTAACACCTCATATGGATGGCAATTCAGATCTATCGAAACGGGAAGAGCCATTTCACCGACAATGATCTTCAGCAAAGTCACCAATGATGGCAATCGAATCGTCATGAATAATCTGATCGCTGATGTTGATCTACAATCACTGGTTGGCTCACAAAAAGTATATGGTGAATGTATTGCAAATGTTCCCAGAAGTCCAGATGGTGCGATTCGGGATACATACACCTCCGGTCCTAAGTTTTACATTGAGAAGCATCCGTCAGGAACAGTGAATATAGATGTTATCAGAGACGTTGAAGGTACGTTCAGTCCAATAATTGCCGGGGATTCAAATTCGTTGATAAAGTGGCGGTGAAGCATTTGTATTTAAAATGTTTTAACACAGAAGACGTGCAATACCAATTTAGTAGTCAATAGGAGAAGTTTTAAACTCCTTGAATTAACTGTGTAGAAATTAAGAAAATGAGAGTATTGGAATTTTCCGAAAAGCCGCCCAGGGTGGTTAAACGGGAAATTTAATTTCATGAAACTATCTTTGAAACTATATAATCGCCTACCCGAATAAGCGACCATGGACGATAATACAGAAACAAAACCTAAGAAGAGCATATATATATATATATATATACGCTTCGGTGAGTGCCCCAAATAGAGAAAAGCTGTAAGACTGCACGGGCGATTATTCGAATGAGCGGACTTTCGGAGAACCCCAGTAATCGATACACTAATCTTAATGATGTCGGATATTATCATCGACTTATTCCTTTGTTATTTTAGAGCCCAAAATTCAATTTCATATGACTGGAGTAGAAGACGGCAAATTAGTGGCCAACGAAGGTGATAATAAGATAATTAGTTGCGTCGCAGTTGATCCGGAAACGAGGCGTCCAATTGAAGGGCTAGATGTTCAATGGGTCTTTGAATATAATGAAGGAACAGTGGCTGACACCATAACACTGGCAAAGAAAGTTAAATTAACGCCTGTTCCGTCAGGTTCAGTCCTTCGCCTCCAAGAAATCTCTAAGACAGCATCCGGACTTCGTGCCAAATGTGTCGCCGTTAATGCTAATCGCGGATTGAATAGGAAACCTGGACAAGAAGATCCCATTGATCCTAAGGTCCAAGTTGAAAGTCCTTATGTGACTTTTGAGGTAACACCAGCAATGCCTGAAGGGGAGGAGGGAAAAGTTGTTCCCAAACCCATACTACGTAAGGTCTACTGTTTATTACTTTGTACTATCCATCGATCACGTCTAATTACCTTGTCTTTCACATAATGCAGCAACGCCAAAAGACTTCAAATTCGTTATCGATGGATTAGATGAGAATGGAAATCTAGCCCTCTCCAAAGGGTCGAACAAAGAGTTGAAGGTTAAACTAGTTGGTGTGTGACCATTAAGTGAAATTCAACAAAATACTTTGTCAGAAATTAGAATGACTTAAATGGCATTGTATGTCTTTTAGATCCAGAAACTGGTGAAGAACTGCCGAAAGATCCCAAGGTCAAATATGGAGTTGAGCTCAGCCATTCAGATAAGTCGCCAGCTCCTCTTGGTGTCTTAGCTGAAGGCATAGAAGTAGACTCAGATGAAGGAACTCTAAAGATTGAGGGCTATCGTGGCGATGAACTCAACAACAACGCCGACGACCTTTTCCTTCGATTTACTGTGGAACGACAGTCACCTTCAGGAGATGGCACATTTGAGAAGTTTGGATCTGAACCAATTCCAATTAAGACTCTTAATGAAGAGGGTGGAGTTATTTCTGGTTAGTGAGGTCTTCTTTACCTTAAAACCTGTTCTATAATATCAACAATTGTTTTCAATTTATTATTTTTCAGATAATCGTGATCCCACAATTCGACACTCCGATCTCACACCTGTTGTTCTTGGTCTGAGTGCATGCGGCAATCTAGTCTATGAGGATGGTGATAACGTTACGCTCAAATGCATAGTCAGAGGTTTGTTTCCATCATTTTATTTATACCTCTTGACCTACGATTAGTCGTAAATTGTATTTCTTTTAATTTTCAGGCTTATCAGACGATAGCGGTTTGGTATTTGCTTGGAAGATGATTAGACCTGGTGGTGTCATGGTTCCAACAGCAGGCAATTTGGCCAGATTTGTGGAACAGGAAGGTTCAAAGTTACGTCTGACAGGCATGCAGAAACAGGATGGATTGCTCTATGGTAGCTGCTCGGTCGCTCGTAAGAGTGGAAACGCTGCACTCTATAGTACCACCTACTTCCCTATCGGTGGAAATTGCAAATCCAGTAAGACCAACAGACCTGCCAAAATCTTTAGCTTAAAATAATAATAATATGTGAGGCTGCAGCAATGGTCAGTATGTAATGTAAGCATAAAAATAAGGGCAAATATTTGAGATAAACTACGTATTCTGGTACAAGGTGGTCTTTGCACCGATTTGGACTGTAATTGTAAGTAACCGTCATGTTGCTAGCCCGTTAGAAAGGTAATGAGATTGCTCATGAATGACATCTATGATTTCAAATAAGGAATATGGCTAATCCTCTTCATTTCGACGAGTGGATTACACGGGGTTAGAGAAATGGGAATAAAGTTAGCAGACAACACTGCATAATTGGCACAAGCAGTGCCTCGACTTGTCAATGTCTCATTGGCCCTTATGAGTCAGCTGTAGACAAGGCGCGAACTGTATCTTTGTTTCGCGTTATCGGGGTTTGAACAGTCGTGAAATAGTTGGGATATACGGAAAGAAGTTTCTTCTAAAAATGATCCTTTTTATTACCTAACTAATGAATGTGCAATGGTTATTATGATTTCTATTAGCGAAGCGCTTAGTCAGTTGCGTGTACTCCACTCCATTGAAGGTTAATATTGAAAAGACCCCCTATGCTATACTGGACGATATTGAAGTAGAACAATAAATTATCCTTCCGTTTTTAAAAGCGTCTTCCTAATGTCTGATAATTTTAATTCTTCAGCGAGCAAAATTGTCACCGAAGTCGATGAAATTCCAATGAACTCATCTTATGAACGCAAGTTTATATGCAAAGCTACGGGTAAGTTAACGTTTAAGCCCCATGCTAAAGTAAAAGCTTTGATTGTTTTATAATTTTTAAATTTATCTGATATTTGGGCAGACTCTGAGACAGGCCAACAAATCCAAACTGGAAACTACTTGTGGGAGTTTTCAACTTCTACCGGGGAGCCAGTTCTCTCAAGTCACATCTTCTCCAAGGTTGAAGTTAACGGGGACACCATTCAATTAAGTCGACCAATGCCTGGCCTGGACCTGTCGAAGTATCTTGGACCCAATGATGGAAAGTTTGTCGTGGGTAGATGTCGGATAATTTTTTCTGCAGATGGAGACGAATCTGAACAGCCGAATGCTCCTCCCTCTGATCCATTCATTGTTGTCACTGACGACAAAGGAGCTGTCAATATCCTGGACCCAGTTGATCTTATTGGTGGGTTTAAAAGCATAGTGTCACCATGCATGATTTTAATGAATTGTTTGTTTGATTTCGTTTAATTGGTTTCAGATGAGAAGCCCAAAGTGATCATAGGCGGCGCGGAAAATAATCGAGTGAATCTAAACGAAGGCGACTCTGTAACCCTCAATTGTGCAGCCCAGGGTGAGCAGCAGTTATACGATTGCCTAACCATTTGGGGCTTGTTTTACCATTGGTACTAATGTTCATATTTAAGACTGGCTAATTATTCCATTAAGCTATGCAGCTGAAATTGTTGTCCAAGGAGACATACGCTTTAAAGCTGTGACAAACACGAGGGAAACGTAATAATAATATGCCAGTTTGTACTTATAGGGAGCAACCGATATCGAATAACGGAAGGTGAAATAGATTGTTAAGTGGAGGTGAACAAAAAGACGCAGATGGTAACGGCAAGGCATCATGAGACCACGGGTAGTTCCAAAATTTTAAATTTCTTCATTCATTCTCTGGGCTACAGAACACACTTTTCTGCAGTATTCAGTGCTTATTCACCTATCATGCTACTTCAGTTCGTTTTCTATTTTGCTTCGAATTTTATGTGAGCACAAAACTTGGTTACATGCAGTCTAACAGATAACAGTTTTCAAATAGCAAAATTGATTCATAAAATGTCATGTTATCAGAGCTCCGTAGTCTGTGTTCACCCAAAGTGAACTTATGCCCACTCAATTTTATGTCATTAAATTAAATACTTCAATCGGTGCTGATCTTGTCACTTCTTTCTGATGTCACGGTTACACATGGCCTGAATATGTTGGTTTACTGAACAACTTCCCTAATTTAATATGTGCCAAGCGTTCTAATCAACCGGCATGCACAATTGAGTGCATCTTCCGGCTATAATTGAATCCACTTATGGTAATTCCTGTTTAACTCGGTGGAATAGTCCAGAGTGCATGCTTAAGTAAAATCTTGAGGGAAACTAAATAACCAAAAAAGTGGCATACTGCTTGTAACACGACTGACTTGATTGAAGATACTACTATTTGACTGAGTGAAGATTTTAACCTAAAGTCGTGACATGCTGAATATAATGTCATCGAGATTTTATTTATTTATTTCAAATGACAGGCATTTTGATTGTTATCATTAGCCCTTTAGTAGACTTCGAACTTCATAGAGAAGAGGAACATCATAGTGGGAAAATTCGAGTGAGGGAAAAGAAGAGTGATTCACAGATGTAAAGAGACAGATGGACACAACTGAAGAGAAAAGATAAGTCGAGTACTGTTGAAGTTGTCGAATATGACATACAGTGCGGTGATAGTAGTTTGAAGTGAGAAGTCAACCGCCGGTTAATAGACTTTTTGTTGCATGAGTATACGTTGCCCAGGATGCACCACTTGTAGGTAAGTCTATCGCCCGCCCCATGTCACCGAAATTAGACGTGTTTTAAATGGGATTGGAGCCTCTAATGTTCTCTTTTAAAAACCTGAATGACAAATTTTTCCACTTTTGACTTTTCTTTACATAAGTGATAATTTCGCTCTTTAAAAACAGATATAGTTTCATCTGAAAACCTTGCTGGCCTGAAATACTCTTGGGAGATTCGCACAAACGATAATAAACCAGTGGACACAAGTGCCATAGCTGACAAAATTGAAATGCTCCCGACTGGTGAAATCAAATTGAGTGGTCTTAAACAAACTGCCGATGCACTTCGAGCTCGTTGTATTCTCATCAACGATACAAAGGTTCCCGAAGCAATTTCTGGAATTGATCAGGGTCCACTTCCAGCCGGTGAGTCGAAGCCTGGAGAGTACATCGACTTTAATGTTAAGCCAAACCCCAGCAGTCCTATTCAGTTCAATGACACGAAACTTCTTGGTAGGTCATCCATAAGATTGTTCCTAACTTCATACGATGCCAAGTGCTTATCTTAACGAAATTATTGCAGATATTAATGAAGTGGATCCTCCAAAACTCATCGTACAAGTGGAAGGACTTGATGATAGCGGTGCTTTGACTGCGAAGGAATCTGAAGATGTCACTCTTAAAGGAAAGCTTATTGGTGAGTGCTCCATTTCGGCGGAACTTTATTCAAACCTAATCTGGTAAAGTATACAAGAATTTAGTATTTCGTATGGTGGACATTAATCAAGGTAGTGATTCGATATGGGGTATTAGTAGATAAAATGAAGTAATATTGAAGTCAGCGCCCTATATTTAAGAAACTATTGATAACAGATATCTCAGCGAAGTGATCTTTTAGGACGGCAATAAACTCTGATGGCGATGCAATACTGAATAGAAACAAGAATAAAATAGCCACCAATTTGTTCATCTCTTCATCTTCGTTGTAGACTGCTCTGCCTACATGTACTCAGACCAAGGCGATTAATTTGAATAGCGCTATAAGTCACATGATTCTATTGATATAAACATCTGCCTAAAGATACGGTAGTAGCACGGTTCTGTTCAAAGATAAGGGGCATAGTAAAACCCCAAATCAATAATTGGTGATCAAATCCCGCGAATTCGGTTCAGATGCGCACAATATATAAATACTCTTCGACTAATCGAAATGTTGGAAGATGTGAGAAAAATTGCATTTGAAAGCTCCTTGCCTTTCTAGTTGACATGAATGAGGGTGTTGGAAAATACGAATCATCGATATTTGAACATATCTAGATCCCTCTACAAACGATGAGTCCCACGAAAATGTACGATTCGGTATCGAAGCCAGCTATGCTGATGGAAGTCCTGCTCCTCTTGGTATTCTCGCTGACACTGTCACAGTGGATGCTCAAACAGGTGAAATAAAGTTGATCGGTTTCAAGGGAGACAAATTCTCTCCTCAACGCGATAGTTTACGAGTTCGAGTTATTGCGGAAAGGATTGATACTGAACCAGAAAAAGCAGTTCTCGAACGCTTTGCCTCGAAGTATATTCCAGTGGTCTTGCTTGGAGAAGATGGTGCACCGGTTATGGGTATGTAAACATTCAGATTCCTGTTTAGATCTCGATGTTTTCTTAATGAAAATCTTCATGAATATAGATGGCAGACCAACTGTTCTAAAACTTGATCCCGTCTACCCAACTATAAATGGCCTAAGCCCGTGCGGCAATCTATTCCTTCAACCTGAATACTCAACATCAGTTTACTGCAAGGCTACCGGTACGTTTTGGCTTCTGATAATTACTTCCAACCTTAATGTAAGAGAATAAAGTTTAAATATTTTTATTTCCATCTTCCCTATAGACAAAACTGAATTGGCGGATGAGTTTATCTATGGTTGGGAACTCCTCAATGCTAAAGGCGATTCAATTCCTCTTGTTGGTATTGTGGCCAAATCAGTGGTTGTTGAAGGATCTGCACTTCAGCTAATTGAAGCAAAGATTCCATCCGCACCTGTGTTTGGACGGTGTGTTGTCTCTCGAAAAGCTGGTGATGATACGCGATACTACAGTCCAATCTTTCAAGTTGGAGGAGAATGTGACCTAGGTAACTGGAGAATTGAATTGCCTTTCCAAATTTTCAGTCTAATATGAAATCGATAATTATTTGATTCCCTCTTCCCCCTCCATCATACTCCCAATTAGCTGAACTAGAAGGAAACAACTATTAGAAGAGGATGAGTTTATCTTAAAAACAGGTGAATGCAATTCGAATAATCTTTTTCTAGCGCATTGATGTGAAGTTGAGAGCGGAGCGAATGCTAGGACCATATGACCCGAGCAGTATTCCAGTATGGGAATTGACATTATCATTGTCAATGTGTTTCCGGCTTAATCTAAGTCGGAGGTAGCTTGGAACAGCTTTTAAGAGAAAATTACCTTCCAGTTTACCATGTCAGTGAAGGTGCTCTAGTGATATCGTAACTTCTGACTAAGCAGGCATACACACATTGGACGCTACTTTATAAATTAGAAAAAAGCAATGGCCCCAAAATAATAATGAGGCTCCTTTTGATGGGGATGGCGAGTGGGGTTGTTCAATTACACGCAGATTATTTCAATTTCCCTATCCCTAAGATCTCCTCCCCTCCTGCCCCCCCCCCCGCCCACTGCTTAACATTGAGACATGTGAACGATTTCAAGCTATCTCTTTGACTTAAACGGAAGACAAAAATAGTGGGGTAGTTGTCACTTTTTAGATAGCTCATCTTCACATTTTCTTATGAAAAATACAATCGAGATGAACATCTAACATGACCCCCTCCCCACTCCACGTCCAAAAGACAATTCACTCCAATTTCTTGACACCTGAATTCTGGACTTTGTCATTATAGTTTGTTGCAATATGAGTGGTCGGGGTCTGCGATATTACAAAAATAACTAATCCTTTTTCTGTAACAGCTGAGCTTCTAACAACGACTTCAACCAAAGCCCCGCCAAAAGTGGAAGTTCCTACTGAAACGCCTACTGATGGAAATAGTAATGAGACGGATCCAACTTTCTCTAACACAATCAAAAAGGATGACATAGAAATCCTCTTCCAATTGACTGGTATCGACTCTGATCGAGTTGTGAGAGGCAAGCCAGGCGATAATGCAACGCTCACATGTACCGCTTACAGTAAGCATTTCCTCGGTGCAAAGTTTTCCCTTGAAGTTGGTTCTACTTTTACACTGATTTTGCCCCTTTTCAGATGCTCTGACAAATGAGACCATTTCTGATGCGTCAATCAGTTGGGAGTTCTCTGATCTTGAGCTCAATAAAATAAGTCCAATGCACATTGCCAAGCAAGTAGCGGTTAACGGCAAAAATGCCATAAATTTCATTGAACTGCGCAAAGAACCCCGGGCCGGTGGACGTTGTCTTATCACCTTAGCAAGCAAAGCTACCATCAGCACGCCGTTCTTCTACTTCCATGTCACGGATGATGAAGCAGGTAAACGATCAAGCCGTTAACAGTTCCCACTAACCTCGTTTCTTAGTACTTCACGGAGTCTCCTTTTGTAGCACAACCACCATTGCAGCTTCCAAACGGTGAAATGCCCATTGAGGTAGTAGTTGAAGGACTTGATGAGAAAGGAAAAATAGCTGTTAAACAGGTTGGAGATGATGCTCAGTTGACCTGCAAGGCCCGTCGATCAGATACTAATGAGACCATTACTGAAAACATACGATATGGCTGGGAATGGCGTTATTTGGACAACGATCCAGCTATGACAAGCAACCTTGCTGTCGGCATCAAAACAGATGGTCATAACATGGAATTGCGTGGCATCCGAGCGCCTGAAAGCTTAGGTGGTCGTGGAGTGAAGGGTCGTTGTGTTCTTCATGTTCCTGCTAAGATCATCGATCCTGAAGCCTCAGAAGATCAGGAACGAAAATTCACCTCGCCTTACTTCATGGTCGTGGTTGATCGTGTACCCTCTCCTATTCAACCACCTATTCATGGACACGAAATCGGTACGTAGTTGTGTTCACAATCTTTCACTCGACATCAATGTTTTAAAATCTGACTCAATTCTTACACGAACCTTCTCGTTTTAGATGGTATTTCTGTGGAAATTGAGGGTGCACCCAATTCGGAGTTAAAAGCGAGTCAAGGAAGTAATGCTAAACTGGACTGTGTAGTTAAAAGTAAGTTTGTTTGGTATGAAAATTGCATGCTCTTGATTATCATTTGATCATGAGAGGTCCAATTCTGATGGTAAGAATATTGGGAGATTCAATGGGGAATATATTTAGGGTAGTTCTCTTAAATGCATTAAAACTGATTTATTAATGAGAATAAATAAGGCCTAGAAATGGCCTTTCAATACAGTCGGACTTACTAAAAACTAAATGACAGGGGAAGGAAGATCTAAGAAGGAGGCATCCAAAACTGAAAGAAATGCGAAAGAATCCTGGACTTAGAGATTAGAACCCGAATTGCTGGGCTCTTTTTTAATAATTTTCGATGGTCAAATAAATTAAAGTCATCATCGGAGAATTGGGACGTATAAGAACGAACAGGTCTATACTTCATCGTTTGTTGATTGCACAGTTAAAAATAAGTTGTATCTACTTAAATTTATGTGGAATACACACCGAAGTGAAGTAACTTCCTGATCACATAACACTTGTGCCCACGTCTGTGCTAGCTAATCGAGTTAATTTCTCCCTTAAGAGCAAATTAAGCAAGTTGAAATCGATACTCACATCCAGCTCGGCGTGAAAATTACCGTGAATGAATTAGTTTTTGATGTAGAGTTACGCCTTTTAGACACCACAAGTGGAAAGCCAATTTCAGCAGCACTCTACGCAATCGTCTATGGCTGGGAATTCAGAGATGCAGCTGGTGACGCTGTAGACAGCAGCTTCTTCGCGAATGCAGTCAACATTGAACCCTTCGGAAGCTTGAAACTTTCTGGTCTATCAGCACCACCTACTGGCCGTTTCCCAATGCGAATTCGATGCTATGCCACTCTTGCCAAACGTCTACCGGCTACGGAAACGGAGGTACTTCAACCGAAATTCTATACATCTGATTATGTTGGCTTTCTGATTGTCCGCGATGATGGCACTGTTACTGGACCTAAAACTGGTCAGCCCGAACCTGACTGTAAGTTTAGTGAGATAGTTAACAACGAATGCGTTTGTGTCTTAAAGGGTTTTAATTAGTCTCCTTTTCGTTTTAGTGCAAGGGAAACTTGTTAAAATCGATGTTGAAGGATTGCATCCAAGTGGAGATTTGAAGAGCCTTCCAGGCGAGAATGTAGAACTAATTTGTGTAGCCACTGGTAAGAAAGTCTTTTTGGTTCTTTCTCCTATGTATTTGCTTTGTCCCCTTCCAAACCGCTGTGTTTTTCTTCGCTAAAGACAAGAGAACGGACCAAAGAATTTCTGCTGATAAAGCCATCTACGACTGGAATCTCATTCGACCTGATGGCCAAAAACTCTCTAATGGTCAAGTGGCTGATAAAGTCTTGTACGCCGGAGATCGTTTGATACTAAAACGTGTTCGTTTATTGGATCCTTCTCTCCAAGGTTCGATGGGCCGTTGTGAAGTGTTCTACAATGGGCAGACCTATTCCTCTCCATTCTTTAAACTTGATTTTACTCCGAAGCGACCTGAAGAACAAATTGAAGGTAGATAGGAAACCTACATAGTTGTATACTCTTCTGAAAATGAATGAATATATTTAACCTTCTCCCTCATGCAGGTGATGGAGTTCTTGATGTTGATATTCTTGGCATCAACAAAATTCTTGGTGTCGTCGAATTAACTCCAGACGAAAAGACTCTTCAATGCACTGCTATTGGTAAGCAGTTTTTACTTTATGCAATTCTACAGGATATCTAGTAGCAATAATTCCAAATGGCACTGAGTTTCATGAATAGGTTGAGATGTTAAAACTACGAGTCTAGTCATTCAATAAGAAGAGCCTCACAGCAGTAGATATTGAATATCGACTTGTCATGCATTGGGCGAAATGAAGCTATGTGACTCAATGTCACGTCCACAACTGAGCAAATGGGTAACAACAAGTGGGCATACTCAAATCCCAAATCACATATGAGATGCGAATGATGGAAAAACTATAGAAGGAGTTTAAGTAGTTGTATTGGTTTACAATTGATTAACTTTGACAATAACTTTTTCCACTATCTTTCATTTCTTAGACTCAGAATCACGAATACCTGAAACGAATGTAACCTACGATTGGGAGTACTTCTATAGTGTTGAGGGATTGCCTGACATACCTGAAGTAATAGACACTGAACGAGTGGAAACCTTCAAGGAGGGTCTCAACGGAAAATTGACTCTTAAGGGAACTGGAAATATTACCCCATCGAAGAACAAAGTGATGCGTCTCAGATGTCGAGTTACCAAAGATGGCAAGAGTTATACATCACCTTACTATGTCATTCGATTAACTGGAGAAGAAATTGAACCTATGAAATCAGGTATCTAAAATTTGTTAATAGATGATACTGCATATATCCTGTTTATCTATTGTAAATACTCTTGATTTTACTTAGAAGAGAAACCAGTTCCTAAGTACTGGGCTAAAATAAGTGGGCTTGATGAGCAAGATCGTGCGTCGGCAAATCCTGGAGATGATATGTCTCTTGGCTGCCGTGCTATGGGTATGTTCACATTCATTTCACAGTACTCCTCTAACTCTTAAACGGCAAATTTTATATTAAATGATACTTGTTAAATTTCAGTTACTGCAACTGGTGAAGAAGCCAAGGATGTTGACTACGTGTGGGAGGTCCGAAGCACCGATGGAAGACTGATTGAAGTTGGTCAGCTGGGAGATGGGGGCGTTAGTTTTGCAGACAATGAATTAAAAATAAGCAAAATTAAGCCAAGCTATGGAACAATCAAGGGTCGTTGTGTTGTTATTGATCGTTCCAGCAAGGAGCAATATCCTTCACCGTACTTTGTATTCGCAGTTCCACCTGACTTTGATCCAAAGGATATTGAGAGTATGCCTCATACTATCAAAGACGCCTCACGTATGACCTTCACTATTCATTGCAGTTCATCATGATCATCTGTGTTTATTGAGATACATTTTATCTTACAGCGCAAGATGAACGCATGAAAGTTTGGGTGACAGAGCTGAATGCGTTAGGCAACTTAAATGGCATGGTTGGTGACGACGCTTCTCTGAAGTGTAATGCTGAAGGTAAATTTTATTTCATAATGGGGAAGAAATTATGTCTATGTCAAGTTTATTTTTGGACGTTTATCCACATTCTAGCTCAAGTTCAAAATGCTGAAGTAACTGGCTACTCATGGGAGTTTTCTGACGCATACTCGCAGTCTTTATCTTCAAGTGTTCTTGCAAAAGAAGTTAAGTTTTCGACTGATGGCTCACTTCAAATGAATGGCCTACGAGCCTACAAGGACAAGCAAAGTTATCACGCCGTTGCTGGACGATGCTTTGCTAACGTCAAAATAGCCGGCGATGATGGTCATGTTGAAGAACTGCGCTTCCCGTCCAAGTTTTTCCATGTTGTGATTCGTGATACTGAAGAACCTTATCTTCCAAAGATGCCTGAAGACCGTATGTCCCATAATTGAAGCTTTCTATCATTTCTTCCGTCCAAAAACAACTGGTGTTTTTGTTTTTCTTTTAGCACAAGGAGAGTTCGTTATTGTTACTGTTGATGGACTTGATAAACGTGGAAATCTTAAAGCAGAACCAGGCGATACAGTTATATTGACATGCAATGCCAAAGGTGGATTTTTTGAAGCAAAGCAGCATGTTTCTTTTATTGGGAGGGTAGTAATCAACTTTACTTTTTCTTTTCAGATATAGAGGCTAATACTGATAACGTCCAAGGATTGATGGCTTGGAGATTCACTGACTCTTTGGGTCGGGAAGTTCCAGCTGAGAAATTAGCCATGTCTGTTGAGAGAGTAGATCGTCAACTCATCTTGACTCATCTCAGACCCACTCCTGAAAACATATTCAGTCGTGGCAAATGCGTTGTATTCAGCGAACAGCGAAAAAGAATGTACTCGTCTATACCGTTTGACGTGATTGTCAAACGAAAGGACTTGGAAGAACGAGGCAAGAAATGACATATCTCCTTATTTATCGGTAGAATGAGTATGGCTTATTTGTGTCTCTTTAACATTTCAGAAGAAGACGAAGTTGTTGTCAGTGTTACTGGTGATGTGGAGGACAATGCTTTCACTGGAATCAAGGGAGGTGATGGAAATCTTATTTGCGCTGCAAGAAGTAAGTTTCCTTTTTACAAAATTCAAATTATTAATAAACATAGGGATCGAAAACGTAGAGCATATCTTCTTCGATGTAGGTATGAAAGAGAAATCGCATTTGAATACTTGTATTAAGAGGCAAGAGAGCGATTAACAACTATGCTTAATTCGCAGAGTAAAGTTAAATTTACCGGTGTTGCATTATGTGGGGGCAACTGAAAACAGCTTGAGAGGTAAGAACTGAGTCAAATGTAGAACTTAATGGTAATTTGTGTTAAAACTTTAAACAATTTAAGAAATATGTAGATGTAAACAATAAATAAGACCAATAATAATGAAGTGGGGGCGGAGGGGGTATGAATGGGAGTTAGTAAAGAGGTGATATAATAAGTCTCAACAAAAAAATGTGGCAGTGATTAATACACTTGAGACTAGCACCCTAATGGTGGCAATTCTTAACAATCTTGAAACGAAAACTGTGTACTCTCTGTAGATCGCACAAGCGCACAAGAATTAACACCTGAGGAGGTCACATATGGTTGGGAGTTTGAAATCAACGGTCAGTGGCATGTGCTGGAAAGAGTATCAGGTGATGTGGCCTCAAAAATTGCCCAATCTACGGATCCAAACAACCCACAGGCTGTCTTGCTTCAATTGAAGGGGCTGAGCGGTGTTACTAAATGGACAAGAGCACGCTGCAGTGTTGTAACGAAAGATAAGCCATCTGAAAAGACCTTCTACTCCACTCCATTCACCTCGGGTAAAGCGTTCGATCCAAGTACTACTGATGGACAATTTGTAGTCGGTAAGTTGCTTAGTAAGCACCAATGCTTGCATGCTTCATCCACTTCCTATCGATTAGAAAGTGTTCAATGCTTAAATTTTATCTGCCTTTTTCACCATCTGTTTTAAACAATCTGTGTATATAACATTTAGCCTCCACTAAAACCCAACCCTTCAACCCATTTTCGGTTTTCAAGGCAAATTTCAGCATCCTATGAGTAAAGTGTATGAGTCATATAGTTCTGTTTGCTGTTTGTGTATGACAAGGTCGTGTTTGGATGCTTACGTTGAAAGCTGTTAATTTCAAAATTTTATCTCAACGTAGACCCTGACGTATCCGTTCGTGTGCATGGTTACGATGAAGACTACACCGTCATATCTAAGGAGGGCGATGACAGAACACTGAAGTGCTCAGCTATTGGTAAGCAGACTTAATTTCTCACTATGCTCAGCTTAATGTACATTTGCTGCATAAACATGCGTTGTACCACACGGTAGATATGAATACTGGCTTACCGATCGATAATGTTGAATTCACCTGGGATCTGCGCACTGTGGATGACCAGCCTCTTATCAGCAACAAACTGGCCCAACAAGTGCGTGTAGTGGATGGAGAGTTGCATCTCAGTGGTTTAAAGACTTCCAGCAAAACAGCACGAGCTCGCTGTCTGGCCATCATACCGGAAACAGATAAAGTACCTGAGAGCGAACCCAAAAAGAAGCGTCCTTTCCACTCCTCTCCAGTTGTTAGATTCCAAGTTTCTCCTCTAACGGAAGAGGTGCCTACTGAACCAAAGATTGGTAAGTTAATACTGTTTATAACACACGAAATGACTTCAGTTAAATTAAAAGTTTAATTTCTGAAGGACTGGAGGGATGGATTATTTTGAAGAAATTGCTTCATTAACATAGTGAGGCTGTTACTAAGGCTAACAACAAACTCTCCGAGAATTAAGAGCGGAGCAAATTATATGGCACATCAGGTATGTTCGACGTAGGCAGGGCGAAGGAGGGGGGTGGTAAAGGTGATTAGGGGGGGGGGGGGGGTTGAAAGTGGTTAAGAAGTTGAGGATTTAACTGAGTCATTGAAAATGAGGAGATTAAACCATTACGCCACTATAATTTGGACACACGGAAATACGACCAATTTACGCAAACCCCCAAACATGGAGGAAAGGTCTCTTAAGAGCTGGTGAAATCAACATGGAGGGAGAAAATACTGTTGAGAAACAATTAATGACTAAGCCTTAATTCCCCCCCCCCCTCACAACCCTTAAACTAGATCATTTTAATTGACTTGTTTGTTCCTGCGGTCAAAATTTGCTTTATTTTTTTTCAATTGATTTCTCAATTAGCACATATTATTATAATTATTTATTTATTAGATATATCAAACCTGAAAATTGAAGTAATTGGAATTTCACCATCTGGATCTCTAACTGGCATTGAAGACGAAAACAAGACACTAGATTGCATCGTAACAAGTAAGTTTAAATTGACCCGATAATCATTTAAACACCTCAATGTAAATTACTGGCATATTTCAAATCTTTGGTCCAATCAAATTTTAGACAAATATACCGGTGTTCCGATTGCTGAGGACATTTCTTTTGGTTGGGTTCTGGCTACCGGACCCGATAATCAGCCATTTGAATTAAATCGACTTGCTGAAAACGTTAAATTCGAAGAATCTAAGTTAATACTCTCTGGTCTTCGAAGTACTGGTCAATACACTGGCGGACTTCGTGGTCAATGTATTATATATCCTCTAGGTGGAAATACAGCAGTTGTTCCCATGGTGAAATCTGACGTCTTTGCTATCCACATCTATCCAAAACCTTCTGTAGACTCCAAGGAGCCCAAAGAACCGGAGGATAGCAAAGATAAGGGACTTCCGGATCAATGGATTCCTGGTTCAGGTGAGTCACAATGCCTATTTGAATAACTCAATGCTAATTATATTGTATTGATGCTTTTCAATATTTGGTAAGTGACGATAACCCTTGATCATAACTTGTATCGTTTATAAGACCTTAAATAGTTTGTGCCGCGTTTTCATATGCACTTTTTGGGTGAAGGGAAGTAAAATATGAAGTCGCTCTGGTGAAATCCCGCCTACTTTATATACACCGTAGGACATTAAAAACGTAACCTCGGACTTCGCACATGACCGTAGTAATAGCTGTACTATCATGGAACGCAATCCAATAACCGGAAGCTGCAGCAAACGTGCAAGATGACTTAAAAGAATCGCATTTAGTTTGCAGTCGACGCTGACAAATTTTGTGGAGATTGTGCTAACGTGTCTGCATTGATGACAAGTCGTCAAAGATAGCATTCAAGCCTAGGAAGTTAAATGGGATTGTTGATCTATTAGGTTGGCAACTAAGTCATTGCCGATTTCAAATAAGAAGGCAAATTCGGAATTTTTGTTTAAAAATATAACTTTATTCAATTAGATATTGGCCGTTCTTGTCGATGACCTTTTTCCATCGTTCTGGCAGAGTAAAAATTCCCCGTTCGTAAAATGTCTGCTCTTTGCTATTAAAAAACTGAATTAGGTGTGATCCGACATCATCCGCGTTGTTAAACATTTTACCATTTAAAGAGTTTTGCATGGAACGAAACAAATGGTAATCCGAAGGCGCAAGGTCAGGGCTATATGGTGGGTGTGACAAAACATCCCAACCCAGTTCCAATAATTTTTGCCGAGTAACCAAAGATGTGAAGGGGGGGGCTTGCGTTATCATGATGGAAAACAACACCCTTCCGATTTGATAATGCCGGCCGCTTATCTTCAATTGCATCCTTCACTTTTTCGAGTTATTCAACATACACATTTGAATTTATCCTTTGGTTCTGCGGCATGAGTTCAAAATACAAAATTCCATTGTGATCCTACCAGACTGACAGCATAATCTTTTTTGGTGAATCTCTGCTTTTGATACTGATTGGGCTGGTTGATCTTGCTTCACCCATGATCTCTTGCCAGTAACATTGTTATAAACTATCCACTTTTCGTCGCCAGTAACTAGGTTCTTCAGAAATGGATCATTCTCATTGCGTTTCAGTAGCGGCGAATCACAGATGCTAATCCGTTGCGTCAAATGAATTTCCTTTAACTGGTGAGGGATCCATAAATCAAGTTTCTTGACATAACCAAGGTTTTTTCATTTTTTTTCAATGCATGTATGCGACACATTGAGCTTCTCTGCAATATCTCGTGTTGTGCTGTGCTGTTACGATTTGAATCGATAATGGCCTTGATATGGGTTTCATCCACTTCGACTGGGCGGCCAGATCGTTGTGAATTTTTCAGTGAAAAATCACCGGAACGAAATCTTTCAAACCGATTTCGACACTGCCTTTCTTTTAAGGCTTCATCTCCATATACGGCACATAACTTCTTTTGTGCTTGCGATGCGTTCTTGCCTTTTCGGAAGTAATACAATAAAATGTGTCGGAAGTGCACGTCCTGTTCTTTCATTTTTAAATTGGGATAAAAACAAAACTAAAGAACTAAACAAAAAAATTTTTTACTAATTAACCTAGAAGCCCATACAGTAAGAAAAAATATAGGCTAGATGCTTTGGCCACGTTAACAAAACAAAAGAAAGTATAGAGCGAATCTGTCAACAAAAACGGCAATGACTTAGTTGCCCACCCAATAGAATAGCGAAACCAATGGAGCTGTAAAAAATGAAATCAATTTAAAAATTGATGAATCGGAAAGCGGTACTCGTTGAGATTACCAAACTACATATTGAACACCATAAAATAGAATTGATTTACCATGAGATCGAAAAATAGTATAAATGACTCTAGTATTTTTGAAATTTAAATACAGAACCCAAAGACGCGGTTGTGGTGATCATCCACGAGCTGAATCGAGATGGTGAATTTGAGGGTAATGTAGGTTCTGAAGCAACCCTGACTTGTGTGGCACATGGTACGTTTACAAATTTGAAATAACTTAGCATTCTTTTCAAAATTTATCACCAAACTGATTGTACGATACAATTTCAGACACTAAAACGCAAGAACAACTGAAAGTTGGCTCTCCGGGAGATAGAATATCACCTACATTTGGCTGGGAAGTGCGCGATGCTAACACAGGAGAAGAGGTGAGTTTAATTTGATATAGGGATAATACCATTACGCATCAGGGTTAATCACCTTGCACAGTAATAAGCTTGGCATGATTAGAAAAATGAAACTCTTCAATAGTGGATTTACTAACATGGTATTCGCTATCTTGGTCTAATGACTCTTGTTTTTCGGTATTTAGTTGGGCTTCAATCAGTTGGCCTCGGGTCAAGTGTCAATGACTCAGACATCACCAAGCGTTGATGCTCCGGACGCCAGTGCAGGAAGTAGACTACGTCTAGAAGGTCTCAAATCAACTGTCGGAAAGTCACTTCAAGGTCGCTGTACAGTCAGTCTTAATGGCCAACGCTATCGATCCGCCTACTTCCCTATCTCGATTGGTGGCAAACGTGTTCCTGGAAGCGTTGTGACTGTGGATGATATCCCTGGCTACTATGGCAAGCCATTTTGCCTCAAATGCTTTTATGCCTTGTTTAAATTAATCGGCTTTTATTCTAATTTTGGGTGTATTTCAGAGGGTGATAATGCTGTTGCCGTAGTTGTATCAGGTCTAAATTCGGACGGAGAAAAGGTTGTATATAGCGGAGAAGATGCTGTTTTATCATGCACAGCTATGAGTAAGACTTTTGTGCGCTTTTAATTACCCATAATACCCATTATGATCATACTCGTTTTTTTCCTAACCAGACTTCAAGTCTAAGATTCCGCTGCCTGATAAATCAGTGTTCTACGGGTGGAAATTTGTGAATGCTGAAGGCCACGAGTTACCGCCTGAACGACTAGAGTCTATTAAGGCAGAGGGTAATACGCTGACCTTGACAAAGGTGACCTACACAACCGGTGAAGGTGGTAATCCTGAGCCAATCTATGGTTGGTGTGTGGTCGGTGTGAAACACCAAACTGGTCTTCCCGGTCTCCGGCATTATCGATCTGATACCTTTACCGTTCATCCTAATGGCGAGGGAGCTGGAGAGCCTGTGATACCTGATAAACCTGGTAGGCAGTTTTTAAAAAATTAGAGCTTCGAGTATTGGTATTCGAAAGATTTCCTTATATTTGTCTTTGTTTCTTCCTTTTAGATATCAGAGTCAGTGTGTCAAATGTTGGAGGAGATGAAGATTTCCTTATTCGTGCTGGAGAAGATATCGAAATGCAGGCTACTGTTACTGGTAAATGAACAGACGTTAATTAAAAAAATGAATAAGTACTTTCTTTCAGCAAACATTTCATTTTGATATCCGCTTCCTCTCCAGATTCAAAGACAGGCGAAAAGGTACCTAATGATAGGGTAAGAATAGGCTGGGAATGGACTGACGTTGGCGGTGCACGACCCATCAATTTGGGAGAATTTGCTGCAGGAGGTGAAGAGTTGACACCAGAGGGTGGCTACAATGCCTATGAAGTGAATCTTCCACAACCCGTGAGAGGACGTGCAGTTGTGACTTATAGTTTACCCGAGGAGGGCAAGGAATGGCGTTACACTTCACCCTATTTCTTCCTCTCTCCTGATCGTGAAGGCGATGAAGCACCTAGGGAAATCCTCTTTGATGAAGGTAAGTTTTTCTTGTCGAATATGTGATAGCACACACCGGTGTTGACAGTGGTCAAGTGTTTGACGATCAACTATTTATCCATACTTAATAAACAGCATAACCAATTGTCTTAAATTTCTAACAAAAAGAACTTCATAGGGTCTCAATTACACTACCCCTCTGTCTGAAATCATTTAAGAAAATCTGTAACTAATTGAAAATGGCGCTTGACAGTATATTGGGCCAATAAAGAAATAATGTATGACATCGGTCACGCATATTGATGGCTTTAATCACTTTGAGACAAGAATACAGTGAACAAATACGCATTAAAGCCAGTAAAAAATCGATAAATCGGACGTTGATAAGCCACCACCTTAGCTGTAGTGAGTCATTATCGCTTCGTCCTTTCCTCCCGACCTTGATTAAGTTAGCATATGTGGCCGTATTAGGAAGAAAATAGAGTCCTCTTTTGTCAAGGAAGCAATATAAATGAGATCTTATGCATACCAAGGTGTAATTTTAATATAGAAGATATTGATTATCGTAGCCTGATGTTTCAGAAGGTGATTTAATAAAAAATTTGAAAAAATTAAGCTTTCTCGGCTATTCGTGAATCGAATACTGGTTAATTCTACTTTCGGTCCATAAAGTCCTTTATATGATTAATAATAGTTTAAAATCTATTTTTATGAAAAAAACTGTTTAGAGATATCGTAAATTAGGATAAGAAGTAGAAGTCACAAAAGTCCACCAATTTAGAACACTGCCAGAAAATCTTAATCTCTTTTCCGCTTACGAACAGAAAGCTCATATTTCTCACTTTAGCTAATGACAAGAACGTAATTCTCAAAATCACTGGCTTGAATGACAAGAATCAATTCGTTGTTCCCAAGGATTCTGAAGGTTCAATCACAGTTGAAGCCCAAGGTACGTCTTCAATCTTGCAGACATTTGCCTGTAAAACTGGCTAACTATTTTGTTAATGCAGATGCTACCTCTGGTACTGCACTAACAAAGGAGACTGATCCTGCAATAATTGGATACGGTTGGGACGTCACAGACGTCAATGGTCTTCCCACACATAGCGGTAATCTAGCCGATCAAATAAAGATGGATCCAAATACAGGCATATTGTCTATCTCAAATCTCAAAACAGACGGCCAAAAGGTACTACTGAGAATGACTGCTCTTGTTGAAACGAACAAAACAGTGGGAGAGAAGATAGTGACAGAGCGCAAGCGTTACAAGTCCGATTCCATTCCACTGATTTCGGAAGGTGACACTTGGCCAGAGGAGTCAGGAATGGACAGTAAGTCTTCCAACAAATCTAATGCATACGCAAAAGCCAGCACTGACTATATTATTTCATTTCCTTTAGTAAGCGGGAAGGACGTGACTGTCAGCATTGAAGGTTTGAAAGAAGGCAATCTCGTTGTGAATCCGGGTGAGAATGCAGAACTGAAAGCTGTTGTTAAAGGTAAGTTACAATTTGCAATAATATTGTGCTTAAAGTGACTCTAACTTCAGAAGTTAGGGAAGTTTATAAGTCCGACCAAGTTAGACTTAGAAATCGCTTGGCGAAACTAAAGATCTTTTTAAGGTCTGATGAAGTAGAACGGTTTTCACCTGTTGAGAAGCCAAAAGTTGATTTGGAAAATGTACATACAACACGAGTGTCAAATTGCAAGGGGAAGGAAGAAGCTAGGAGAGGTATGGGGAATTGGAGGGGAAGGCGTCGGTACTAAGTAAGTGGAACCTGTATTGTGATGGACTGCGGGAATATCCTTACGAGGACGGAATGTTTTAGTCTTTGTCCCATGAGAATCGGTCTTTGGTGAATAGAATAGGCATTCCTATAGGACTTTGTGTGTGCATATTTCTTTCTTGATTACATTATGGCAACGAAAAGTCTTAAAGTTTTTACTGATAAAACAGAATTTATTGACCTATATTATCGCAACACTGAGAAACTTTTCATATTTTAATATGAAATTGCATCTTTATCTCAGACTCCTCAGGAGCTGATGTGGAGGCTAATGGCTACTCCTGGTCATTCATTGATCGCAACGGCTTCCCAGTTCCCCCAACTTTAATCTCTAAGGGCATGGAGGAAACCAAAGAGGGTGGTCTCAAACTCAATGTCATTCAGCCGTCTGCAATTACTGATGAGGTGCGCGGTCGTTGTCGTGTTGCTATTGAACGCGAAGGAGCCAAGGGTCCCCAGTATTACGAGTCTCCGTGGTTCCAATTTAAATCACCTGTCGAAGATAAGAATGGAACATCTGATGTGTCCCCTGGTGAACAAGGTCTATTGAAGCAACCACTTGATTTATTTCTAATTTTGGATTGAAATGGTAACTCACCCTGAGCTTTACCTTATAGATTACGGGTTTACTTTAAAGATCAAATCTGAGTCGAGTGTTCTCTATCCAAGGAAGGAGGGAGACATTGTCATGGCCCGTCCACATCTTCCACTTGAAGTGAGCCTTGAATGCCTATTTATTTTATATAAACAATCGATTACCGATTTTTCAAAGTGACTACATAAAGGGCAACGAACGGCCAATTTTTTAAGCCATTTTTCCCTGACCAAATCCATTTACTAAAAGCAGAGAAAGCATGCTTTTAGTAATCACTAAAACATAAATGGATTAAATTGTAAAATTTTCGAGAGGCGGAATTTCAAGTGCGTATGAAGATGTGGTAATACTTTCCAATCAACTGCTCACAACTAAAGATATTAAAACTTTAAGAGTTTGAATGAAGTTAGTTTGGAGGGTACTATAAAACAACTGATCTTCCTTGAGGTTTACAGGATAAAAAGCCTTTCCCAAGTGGGAATACTTAGAATGAGAACGGTGAAATTATTCGAGTAGAAAGGAGGTTGGAGCAGGTAGAGTCGCGTGGACAGATGTGGAAAGGCGTAAGCACCCATAAGAGACAACCCGGATTGAGGATACGATGTGCGTACCAGTACACGTTAAGGGAATTGATGGATTTCGTGAACTTTATTCGTTTATAAATGAGCTATAAAATAGCACCAGCTATGCAATTTTTAACTGCCATTTCGTGATATTATTTAGTTGAACTGTGTGGCCGAGTATGAGGAAGGCGTGAGTCCACGACTGTCAGACACTGGAGCACTAATTCCACAACTAGCCTGGTACTACCGACGTCCTGAGTTACTTGGTGATGTGCCAATTCCAGCTGAACTCTTCCGAGTGAATCCAGGCAAGCTGCAGACCCTAGTGATTAGTGAAGTGGATGATCACACCATTCGAATCTCATCTGATCACTACGATTTCCGTGACGATGTCGCTGAATTCCAATGCCACGCTATGGATGGTGATAAGCTACTGACGACACAGACCGTTTTCATTAACCGTAAGTCAATCTTACGCACCACATTTTAAGCCGCTTGCATATGATTTAATTGATGAATGGAGTTACTACATACGTACAACCATGGGAAAACTCCAAAACACTATTCGAATTTTGTTTAAGTGATAATTTTACTAAATCGAGTTGGATAGGAGAAATTTTTAACAGAAATCAGAGAGAGAGAGAGATGCGTGAAATGAACAATTTAAGTTTTAACTTGGGAACATCAAGTCGTTAAACATGGCCATTTAAGATGAATAATCATAGAGATGGATATGCACATCTCAAGGGACCAAGAGTGTAAAATAAGACGAAGATCAGTTATGAAATTCCAGATTGTGTAGCTGTGCTGTAGCGGATTGCTACCTTGGTAAAGCCTGACTGACTCAGAAATCTCTATGGCAGATTCTCCTACGCCTAGCTAGACTCCCAGAACCAGCTAAGCTATAGCCCACCTATAAAGGAAACAGACGTGTAGCACGAAGCACGTTTATTCAGTACGAGCATTGCGGATAAAGTGTGTACACGCAGGGAGCTACTCATGATAAGGATGGGGGATTAGGTTAAACAGAGGTCAATGATTGGTCACTATTTGTACGGTCGCTGCACACAGAGTTGTACGGCCGCACCTCCCAATCCTGGCGAGCAGCATGGAGGCATACGATGACGCACACAGCGATAACGTGTCCCACAGTGCTAACACTTCCGGAGAGAACATTATGAGAAGAACTCCGAGATGTAATGGACAATATAGATATTTTAAATTATCATCTTAACTTATAAGTAGAACGTCAGCGATGTGCCTATTGAAACATTTTTGGTTGGTTAATGCTCACCCAAAGATCTCTTAGTCTAATAATGGAGCATCCTGGGCATCGCGACTGTAAGTAGACGTGGGTAGCAGGGATCCGTGGATGATAAAGAAGGCGTCTGCACAGGATTAGTCTGGTTAAATTATGATATATAAAATCACTTCAGACATTGGGGAACAGATACATAGGGTTAGCGTTAATGTATATATATAAAGATTAGCAGTTCAATAACATTAAAGTGACACTCATGAAATCGAGATTACGTAGAATATATCGCAAGATTCACAAAGAGTAATTCATATATGGTAGATGGGATAATAGGGTTGATCTGAAGAACTGCCAATGGAGCGGGTGATGTACCAGGCATTAAAATCATCACCTAGGGCAACCAAGAATTATTCAAATAGGGGTAACAAAGAGCGTGAAATACCAACGAGACAATGCGAGCCGGTGCCATTAGCCAAAATTATGGATCATGTATGGTTTATAAAGGGGCGAGGAGTTCAGGAGTTCCTCATTGTGCATCAAATGGCAGGCGTTTTAATAGTTATCATTAACCCTGGAGCTGACTTCGGGGCTTCACTTTTGAAAGTTATCATTAGCCCTGGAGCTGACTTCGGGGCTTCACAGCAGAGGTAGGAAGGAACATCAAAGTGACAAAAAGTTGAGATGGGGTACAGAAGAGTGATTCACAGATGTAGAAGAGACAGACAGACACAAAGGCGTAAATAAGGTAAGATGAGTACTGTGGAGGGGATCGAGTACGTCAAATAGTCGGGCCATAGTAGTTTGAAGTCAGAAGTCAACTGCCGATCAATAGACTTTTTTTGCCATATGAATATACGTTGCCCAGGGTGCACCACGTGGAGGTTAGTCTATTGCGCACTCCACTATAGTTAATAATGGGTGTTGGGAGACGCTTTTCTAACTGGGTTCGCCAAGATAATACTCAATCGCAGCATTTTCAGATGAAAGATATCCGAAATAAAGAAAGCTTAAGTTTGTCTTCGAAAGTGTTGGCTTGAAAAGCATATATTTGTAATATGTTACTAATTTTTATGCTTGTAGGCGTGAAAGAGCTTATCCGAGTACAAGTTTTTGACGAGAAATCCCGCACAGCAGTTTATGCTTTGGAGAACACAAAATCAACTCTCTCCTGTTATGTTGAAGGTAGGTTGGCTTTTGCCTTCTACTATTTTGAACTGTTTATCACCCTAAATTGGACTTATTAAATGCATTCTAAATTTGTAGATGAAATCTCCGGAGGTAGAGTAGAACCACTGAGTTACAAATGGGAGATAAGGGATCCGAAATTGGGTTGGGATGAAGGCATCCAGTCAGGAGGAATCGCCACTCAAGTCACTGGCGTAAACAGTAAGGACCTTGTTCTAGAAGGCCTCGTAGTCGCAAAGAACGACCCAGTTTCATCATCTTATCAAGTTCGTTGTGTGGCTCAGTACAATGAAACATACTTTGTGGTGTCGCGAGGCTATGCCGTCAATGTTCACAGAACTCCAGAATTGAAGGCCATTCGACTGATTCGTGAGAAACCAGAGCAACAGGAGCTGACTGGTGAACCTGCCAAGGATATCTATGATGCTGGCACCGATTACCTCTTAACTTGCAAACCAGAATTCTTTGCGGGCGAAACACACGCTGTCTGGGAGAAGTATAATGAGGAATTTGAAGAGTGGGAAGTTATCTCACCGCCAATGGATCAACTCTTCTTCGAGAGTGATTCAACTGAATATGAAGACGAGGGCCAATATCGCTGTCGTGTCAGTCACAATCTACAAGATTACGATTACCATGTGATTAAGACACTTGTGTTAGACCTGAGTCGCATTGGTAAATTTAATTTAACTTATTAATAATGACTACCAATATCGAGAGAATGCTGACAATGACAATTTTTTTATTTGCCTTCACAGCTGGTCCTGCTCCATCTACAAAGAGTCAACAGACTGTCACAGCCAACCAGCAGTTGATGCTGCAATGTGCTGACCATTCGGCGTCACCACAGGTTGAAGTGGAGTGGTCATTCAAACCTAGTGGAGAAGCCCCACCCGAAGGCAAAGAACCAATCGCGCTTGGTAGTTACTTCCAATATGGAAGAAATAGCATTTTCATGTAAGTTTTTTATTTCCCTCATAGAGACTTCGCAAATAATAGTTGTGCATTAAACAGTAGAGAAGTCAGGAAGGTGCATTTAATTCCGAAAATGCACAGCTTTACAACTAGAAGTGCATCAACGCAAGCCTCCATCTGAGTCAGAGGCAATAGGTTAGGTGTTCATTAGAGCCCAACAAATGAACTGGATGATTGGTCGTACAGATTGATATAAGGCATTAGAGAGCTGATGGAATGTGAGTTGCTCATTTACTGGGCTCCTGTTCCCTTCAAGGGGCTTGTTTCAGCACTTTAACGAAACAGTAAATCTATAAGAGCTGAGAATAGGGGGGGGGGGGGGGGGGAGGGGATTGAGCAATATATTTGGGAACAGACTAGATATGGGGAATAAAATGAACCGCATTTTTTAATTTTTTTCCTCTAGGATTCCTCCTGGCCAGCTGTTGGAGTCCCATTCTGGTGTCTACACTTGCACAAGAACGAACGAACATGGACAGGCCACAACAGAAATCACCGTTACTGTTAAACCCGTTGTCTATGAAACAGGCTATCGCGTAAGTTGAAAGTGCGCTCACCACATTGGCGGTGTATTTGCGGTTTTAACGTGTTATCCTTATCATATTACTATCCTATGCCACATGCGCAATGGCTGCCTCTGATGTTGTCCTCATTTTCTTTCTATTTTAGAAGAAAATTAAAGTTTAGAGCAACAAACGTCGCATCGACTACTGTACTAATCAACTGATCTACAAAATCCTAATTAGGTCTTTTCTCTATGTAATAGCACATTTTTCTCGCTTTAATCACCTATGTTATTAACTATCTTACTCTAATAATTTTAAAAGTTAGCTGTTCATTTACTTGACTTATTTTTTTGCCTTAACTCTTGGGTTAGTTTTCAACGCGATATGTGACTATTCTTGTCTTAGAGAACAGAAAGTGGAAGTAGTAGTATTTGAATAGGAGATAATCCCACAAACATTTGCGCATGAAATGAAAAGGCGCTTTCAAACGTACAAGATTTGAGCATTTACCCAAACCAAAGGCCCGTAATTTTAGTGAGGGTGAATTCGTCTATTGTATCACAAATGAAGCAGATCAAGTACTTGTTGTGAATAGGGTGTGAGGATCACCACATGAACACGCACAGAAAGAGGAGGAACTAAACTGCAGATGAGCGAGATGTCAGAGAAAAGGACTAGGTTGGAAGCAATGGAAGTCAGATCAGGCAGAACACAGACAAGGAGTAAGATTGTATCGAGGTGCCTAGAAGCATATGCAGTCGGCAAACACGATTGGAATAATTAAAAGAAAGTGGAGTATCCGGTCGAGAATGAAGGAGAAAACACATGATGATAAAGAAGCTGGAAAGGGGGAGAAATTATTCAGTCTAACGCTGGCTTGAGTCCCGGTAGGAGTTTGCCAGAAACTGTGATGTACGCTAGTCGATAATGGCCCACTGACTGAATAGATACCTTAGAAATGGCCCGTCATGTACAGCTCATGTTTATTTACTTAGAAATATGACATATAGTGGGGCAATGGTAGTTGGAAGTGAGAAAGACTCTTCTCTTCCCTACCCTCGACTTTTCACTTTGATTTTCCTTCCCCTCTGTGAAGTCTGAAGTCAACTAAAGGGCTAATGATAACTATCATAACGCCTGCCATTTGATATAAATAAAATAAATATTTACTTAGAAATGAATTCTTTAAGCCTATTAGTTGAGTACAATTTATACTCGCTGATGTACAACAGATCGAATTAAAAGGTGATCTTGAATGAACTTGAGGGCCAGGAAAATATTCCTTGAAAAGGCATTTGAAACGTAAGCTTATCTACGCGTATCAATGAGATGCTAACAGCATCGAGAAACATCAGTTGTCAAATATTGAGCATTATTGATCTTTTAGAACGAGCCCACAATTAATAAACTCCAATTTGGCTATTCCCTTAATAATATTTTCGTATAATTTAAATAGGTCTATTATCCAACCGCTCCACTATTCTTCATACTTAACTGTTTGAAAGTGCCAAACATAGAAAGCCACTAAGGCGTAGAATTAAACCAGTTCCTGGCAATCAACTTCAAAAGAAAATAGAGGATAACGTCACGGGTATTTATATTATCTAGACTAGGTTTCAGTTACATATGTACAAAAGGCAGAAATATAATTCAATTAATTTACATGAGACCATGCCGCCACCAGTGATCTCCCGAATTCTTCTTTCGCCAAACATAATCTTCTCTCTTGGTAAAGTCTTCAGATTTCTCTTCCCCTGAACCACTGTCCACCGTTTCTTCCTCCCCATCCTCACATTTAACCTCAGCTTCAGTAGTACTTCCAGATTGATTTTCTTCGAGAAACTTCTTTACAGCAATACGGGTTCGATGAGCAACAAGACGGGAGTGAGGATGGATGGGAAAGATACCTGCCAGACCAAGAAGTTCGGCCACTCGTTCTGTGGGTTCAGCACCCTGGGCTATCCAATAGAGAATACGTTCAACGTTGAGACCAACTAACTGTTCACCATGCTCTCGGTTGGGGAATGGGTCCCAACAGCCCAGCTGCTCAAGACCCTGATCTTTGCCATGGGCTTGACTAGATTTCACCTGAGCAAATTAAATATTCAAATAGTAAATACTACTTTCATGTGTGAGTAAAGTGTAATAAAAAACCTGCAAAGTAGAAATATGGTGATCCATTTGATATAGCAGGACAATACGTGTTCGAAATCTTTATGCTAAAGGACATCTGAGTTCCCCTTCCCTAACAACTTGCGACTAGAACATTCTTTATCATAAGAATTCAAAACTAACCTCCAAGTATCCAAAACTACCCTCTTAGTGTTAGTATAAGTCTACAAAAAGGAAAACCCTCGTAGGAAATTTGATCTCAATCATAAGCAAAACAACCGCACAGTCAAACCGTATCTACCTGCGTGGAAAAATATGTAGAAGGCTGATTTAACCAAACTAAGGGTATGCGACTGACATGCAAAGATAGTACTACCGTTATTACCAATCAGATTAAAAGGGATTGTAGCATTAATTACCAAGCTTTCACACTTTTTGTCGCCCCCATTCCCAATTTGTCTAAATAATAGATTTTAAAGAGTGAGATGGCCAGACTCGTTTTATCCGATCACTTATACCCCAGGTGAGTATCATATTCCGCGATAAATTCAAGCCGAAAGGGACCATCAAGACCAAGCGCACCAATCCAAGGGAAAGCAGGGACAATAAGATTGGACACTATATCTGAATATACCGAAACCAGCAAACCAATCGCGTTGTGTATAAAATTAAAGTCAGGCAAAGCTCAATAAGGATTGGATGAAAATAAATGTTAGAATAAGTATTAAGATTGAGAGAGAGGAATGAAATGTTCTCAGTCTATAACCACACCAATTTACACATTCTGCCACGTCATAGATCAAGATTTATAAAGAAGAATTAAAATCTCCACACACACAAGGGAATTGAATGATCAACGAATGTATCCTTAAACATGTCTAGGAGATAACCTTGAAGATTTTAACAACGGCTGATCAATGAAAGAGCTTTATCAAGGGAATTAGAATTCACCAAGATGAAGAAGATTTATTTTCGACGAACTCAGAGAAGACTCGCAATTTTCATCACATGCGTATTATCAAAAAATTGATTCTCACACACAAATGGACGTCCAAAACTACCTGTGGGGAAGACATCGCACCAAATTATTGGACAGCCAGATAGACAAAAATTAATTCCACATTCAAGCCTATATAAGGCGATCTAGTTTTAAAATAAGGAATCGTGGTTTGGGTTGTGTCTGAGAAATAGTATCCTAAACAAAGGGAAACTGCGAACTTTAAAAAATATTCTCCGGTGAAGAGCGCATAATATACAAGAAATTATAAATCGAATCCGACACTAATACGCAAAAACGACAGCCTTTGTGAAACGCTTGACTACTACACGTTTTAGAAGAAGAAAGCTTCCCAGAAATCAAACATTTTTGCGGAGAAAAAAATAGCAACATGAAGGAAAACATAAAGATCTGCAACCAGTAAAACCTCATCAAAACGATATGATTCAGCCCAGTAATAAAAATATGACTTTAATATCAATGGATGAAATTCGATGAGACCAAAGCTGTAAATGTACTCAGGTTAGGGTGAAAAGCATAGAAACAAACGAACCTGGATAGTGAAAAATGGTCTGTTAGTGCATCCCTCACGAACCATACTGATGCGCAGGTTTGGTAGAGGTTTGACAGGACGAAGAGCAACAACTTTTTTGCCTAATGCTCTTGGCTGTGGGAGCCACCAAGTGCTAGTACGGTCTCTACCAGGTACGAATCGGCCACCTAATTTTTCGCTCTCCTCAGCAATTAATTTCTTCAGCCGATCAGAAGGTATCGATCGTAAATTACGAGGTAGAACAGTAGGTGAAAACAAGCTTCGCGACTTGAGCATAAGTCGATTCATTGTGAGCTCTAAAATACAAGCTTGTGAGAATTTTAAAAGTTTACTTCAAAAAAAATGACGAAATGTTTTTCACTGAAGCATAAAATGAAATTAAAATTAGTATCATAAAGTTTCAATTTATATAACTTGTAAAATACTAATCGAGTGGCACATCAACATTGACAATACCGAGCCTGCTTTGCGGATAAATTAACTACACTGCTCTCCTCAAGGTCAATAGCGGCAAGGGATCATATGGCAAAATATTTTTTATTTTCTTTATTACAAGGCAAACATTATTATTATTATTATATATTGATATTAAAATTTATAGTTCACATGCTGTTTTAATTACATAGGTTCTAATTGTGACCTTTTATAATAATTAAATATCTTGACGATATACTTTTCTACCTAATTTTGGAACATTTACGATATTTCTCCTTATGCACTTCCCTTAAATTTAATTATAAGTAATCTTGCTCAGTAGAATTAGAATTTGATTTGGGACCTTTCCTATTTTCCCATGCCAGTCAATATCTTGTTTCTGCTTTGTTACCTTTTTATGCAATAATACTGCAAATGAAATTCAGATAAGGAAATCATAAATTTTCATTTCCTACAATGGATACTAATAGTTTGAATCATTATTTAACACACTAAATTATAATGGCCATATTGCACAATAACCCCTGTGCACGCAATTGGTTTAAGTACGCGAAACCTAGTAAGTCCGACCAATTATTGTAAATTGGGTTGGGTTATTTTTGGTCAGCTATTCTTCTACAAACATGTCAGGCCAAAGTTTCGCAGAGTCAGATGAGGGTGCACGAGTCCGAACAAAAGTAAGCATTATGCACTTTTGTGGATGGCATAGATCCTCATAGAATACTGCAGCTATTTTGAATAAATGCATACCGGGACAAATCAATCTTACAATATCTAACAATTTTATTGAAATCGGTGCAAAAGGAGATAAACAAAAAAGGGAAGTGATCGTTTAGTGCACAGGAGAAGTGATATGGAGGTAATCTGACAAGAAGTTGTTACTTGAGCTAAAATTCAGAAATTGGATAAGAATATTAAGAAATTCGATATTTTGAGATGTTAGAAATAGCGTCTCATATATCCCCAAATCCATCTATATAGTAGGCATTGAAATTGAGACTTTGAACCAACAAACGTAAGTTCTGATCTGAATGATTCTGTAGTTTATTCATGAACTCCGTCACCATGCTCTGGAATGAAAATACAAAATGGTCAGTAGATCTAGAGAACAGTACAAACAATAGCTGACGCCAAGTCAACTTACTCTATAGCTGGAAGCGAGAACACGAATTCTGGCTGTCAAAGGGGTTATCGTAGCTTCCACAAACATTTTGCGCCTAGCCACTTCTCGGCATTCAGGCCCAGCACAAGTTCCCCAGTTGCCAGTTTTTGCCGACGCATCAATCTAAGAGGAAAACAGGGCATTACAACAATAACGATTCCCCAAGATAAGAATTCAACACGATAATAATGCCTACCTCGTGTTGCAATTCAGCTCTTACATCCTCTTCATCATTGGCCAAGTTCTGGAGATCCTGGTTAAGTTGGAAGAAATTGATAATCAAATCAAAGATAGCTCTCAGATGGTATCGTAGATCTCTCGAGTTCTGATCCAACAAACATCGAGCTACCACGCTCTCCAGGAATGCCTGATGTGCCGCAATCACTTCATCCAAATCATTTGCACTTTGAAGCACCTTTGCCAAGTCAAGCCAGGCACATTCTAGAGCCTTAAAACGAGTAAAAGTTTAAATGGATTTCCATGATATCCAGTACACTCTTGAAATAAGAGATAAATACCTCGAAATTGACGTAATACTGGAGCTGAAGGATGAAATGACGGAATTCAGCTCCAAGAAGTTGAACAACGTGGAGAATAGGGGCGAGATCATCTGCAAGAGCATAGGGCTTTCGAGCCAACGAGAGCTGGTCCCGCCAAAGAGCACTTAACATGAATTCCATTCGTTTGAGACGCCAGAGAAAACTGAAAGCCTTCAAATAGAAGAGGCGGCATTCGGGTGGGAAGATGGTAGTGAGAGGTCCGTCTATCGTGTATCCCAAGGAAAATACATCCCAACCACTGTCACCTAAATGATGAAGAAGTAACGTAAGCTTGAACTAACATTCCGTATACCACTAAGCACATTGCTATTGACGAAGTGAAATAGGCTATGATATCAACATGAATGCTTGCATGTGATGGCCTAGACACAGAATGGACTAGACATAGGCAACTACACGGTACCGTATTGGTTCGAACATGGCGATCATTGTGGCAAGATGACGATTATTTCCTATTGTCCTTGTGCACTTTAATGGCTATTTATTCCAGTCTTATTCTATCGTAGACCTTTATATTCTTACATAGAATCTTAGTTAAACTGCGAGGGTGGGTCGGAAGGTTCTCAGACAAATGCCATAACTTTAAACACAACAGCGATTTACAAGTTTAAACATGTCTTTATCGTCCAACACTATTTTAAAGGCTCTCTAGATTCTCTCAATTAGACTGATCCCCCACTTTCCACCAACTCAAACCAACCTTGCATAAGAACTCATCATAACTCGGCCCCCCCCCCCAAGTAAATAAATCCAGGCACTAAACAATCATTTCCATCATTCCATTCCAATTACGACTCAAGAATGTCTTGAAGCTTCTTTAAGTTATTTCTAGGTGATGATAAATATGAATACTCATCGCAATACACCTGGATCCTGTTGCTCTAGACTCAAGTGGAGTACTATCCAACTAAAGAGTTAGCATAAAAGGGAGAATCTGGCATTATTTTCAAGGAATCAAAGAAACACACGATGATGGTGAGGAAGAAGTAGGAAGTAGCGAATTTTATGAACTATCCATCATTTCCATTTTCTCACGAAGTCTTATCAGCCCCTTGAAACGGAAAATCTGGAAGATAGGATTTCATGTGATCTTAATGCGCTTTTAACGATTCAACTACGGAACAGTTGGTAAGTCATCTCATAGTTTGTATTGATAGAAGCACTAGTACCTTTTCATGAATATGTCATTAGCAAAGTGGATGATATATTAGACTGATAAGTAATATCGCTTACATATGACGGATATAGAGCTACGCACCAGTAACACAGGCAATAGAAAATCAAAATGGCTACGACTAGAGATTAACTATTAATTTTATACTAACCACGAAACAGCTCGTCAACCAACTCTGACTGTAGAGAAACTATATGGGATACCATTCGGACAACGTAAGCGAATTAAACTATTTTTAAATGTAATCTTTATTGAAAAAAACTAAAGTGACCAGATACATACAGATGGAAAAGGTAAAACTAAAAATGACCACTTACCTTCAGCAGTTTCAAGAACCTCTACATTAAGGCGCCGAAGGATTTCAGAGTCCTCATATTGAGCATTAGTGTCGCGGATGGCTGTTTCCAGAAACTCATTGAGTCGATGACGCATTATGTTGCAGGCAGGCTCATCAAGCTCTACTCTAAAAAAACCAGAACAGTGATATGCTAACACTTCTATGCAAGAAAATGTAGTTGGAAAACTATGACAGATACTCACTGTAGCAGATCTATTAGGCGTTGAATGAAGTCACCTTGGCCCAGAAGTAGGAACTTTCTACAAGCCTAGGTGAACACCAAATAAAATTTTTAATAACAAAAAACATGGCTTCAGTGAATGAGAAGCGTGTAAGAATATTGTAACATTAATTTATGAAGAAAGAAAATAGTTTTGTTTTGATTTGAAGTCAAAAGTTAATTTGCCAATCGATAGATTTAACATGGAAAGATCCCAATACGAGGATCAAACTGAGACACGTGCTGCACACAGAGTGGAGTAATGGGGAAACCGAACTGGGAGCTACCTACAGCCATTGCTGGATCAGGCCTTACAGCCAACTATCGCTATGGCTCGTAATGGTGGTTCATCTCCGTTCATAGATTGCACTTTGTGAACTTGTAATCTTTTGGATCTAATCTTCATTTTACCCGTCTTATTTTATATAGTGCTACTTTATAATAAGTTGGCGAAACCAAAAAACTCTCAGCTGAAAGGATTTCCTATTGCAATTCTGCGTTAAAATGGGCATTTACTGACTGCAACATTGGGCTCAACCAAATCACAACCAAACCGATTCGGCCAAAACTAACTTCTAAACAAAGCAAATCAACAAACGTTGATTAAAGTAGCATTTTGACCACGTTGCATAATCGATTACAATATGACTATACATGTTGATGACTAATTATTGATTATACCACTCATTAAAACTAAATCAATGCTCAAATCACAACAAAAACTCGCCAAGTTTTGAAGGATCTGATGATAAGCCTTTCACTGTGAAAGTAAGGCAAAAAATGCTGTCTAATTCAATTTAACCAACACCTTTTATTATAACGGAGCAGGGCTCTTACCGTTAGATGATCCATTAGATGATACTTCTGAAAGAGTATTTCAAGGAGGTGTTTGGAAACGTGCGTATAGGCTGTTGAAATCATTCGATCAAAAGAACGATCAAACGTCTGATTAAATATTGCCTCAACTAAAAGAAAAGACGTTAATGAAATAGAGAAGTGAATAAAGTTTAAGCGAATTACTTTGTTTTAATCGAGTGTTGCGAATAGCCTCCAGGTCTTTGAAATTGAGAGAATCATTACATACGTGAATGAGGAAATTCACCGACTTCCCAACTAGGAGAATCTAATGCAAAATAAAGAAACAATGCATTTCAGAATATTTAAATGTACCAAATCCTGATTCTAGTGCAGTTTAAACAAACTAACATTAACTTAAATTCAATCTACGTTATCTGCCTGACATGAATAGCTTTTCGACGTTTATTCAGTATGTGTGTGCGTGTGTGTGCATGTCGCTTTTAGTAGGTTTCTTAAAGAATTTGAAGGTTAAGCTTACAATGACGACTAATTCATGGAGAATGTCCTCAATTTCCAACGCCATTTGAGATGTGAAATCTATTCTCCTCACCCCTGATAAAATATTATTATGTGACTAACACTGTCTCATTCGTGCGGTTGAAAAGGCTCTTTGGCTTAACCAGTTTTCATTGGAAGATGTCCAGTGATAAAGAGCGCCAACTGCATGAGCTAATTCTGGTCAATAAAGAGAATGATAAAAAATGTGAAGTCACCCCTATCTACACTAAAGCTTTGCTAATACTTTTCCAAATGGCTGTCGAAAATTTAATAACTCCCCAGCCCAAGTTCGGAGCTTGTAGATTACAGCTGTGTATATTCACTTGCTCTATGATCCTTACCACAACTCGCAGCAGAACAAATACCCAACCACGACACGAAACTAAATTGCGTTAATGGGCTGCAGAACCTGCAAGATCACTTTCCTCCACTTAGAAATAACTGTCGAATTCAAAACTTTTTTGCCGCCTTTCTCACTGTTCAGAAAGTTGTTACGCGACTACAATAACTAATAATGATGATAATTCAAAGGAAAGAAACTGCGGAGTCGTTACAAAAGCTTCAAAAGTATTAAAAAACTACTAGCAGCAATGAGGTTACCTTTTAACCTACAACAGAATATCGGGAAATGTTTGAAGGTACATTAAGCCCTTAGGTACCAAAACGTAAATCCTTATATCTCATTGAGGGGTGTGCGATAGACTTACCTCCACGTGATGCACCCTGGGCAACGTATACTCATACGGCAAAAATGTCTATTAACTGGCAGTTGACTTCTCACTTCAAACTACCATCACCCCACTGTATGTCATATTCGACCCCTTTCACAGTACTCATCTTACCTTTTCTCTGCCTTTTTCTCTGTCTGTCACTGTTGCATCTGTGAATCATTATTTTGTCCCC